ACCCGGCGCCACCTCTCCGCATTAGACCACCCCAACTAGCACCTCAGCTCCAGGCTCGCAACGGCGTTCGCGGAAGAGCACTCTTCCCCTCCTGGTTGGTAGCGACACCAAATATAGTGAACAGAACACGGGTGGAGACAATCGAATGTATTTAACCCAAAATTACAGGACTTGTTAATAAAATCTAACAATCATAAAGTAAATGATTAATTTGCAAAATGTCCATCAATTGTCTCAAAATGACCCGGACTTCAGTATTCTTGTACTTTCATACAAATTTCATCCTGTTTCTATTCGTTACCATTCAATCCTCTTGTCTATCTGATACCGGACCTTATGTCCACGACTAATATCATATACTACTTAATGTCAATATAAGTAGCACACACCACACCGTGAATGGGTGATGGTTCTTAAGACAACCGACAGTGGCGAGCGTCCTTCGAAGCCGACAATAGTTAAGGAGAATCCATAGGTTTAGTAAGTTATCTGTCTAATTCAAGTTGAAATTAAAAAGAGATAGCTTCTAAGAAGTGCATAATACAGCTTGAAAAAAAGAGAAGGGGAAGAAAAACTCATTGCCTGATATGATTTCGACATGCAGAGAGGCTATAATATCTGACTTGGGTGCAGATGTGTACGAGGGCTTCAACAAAATGTCTTACAAACCCATATAATCCATGGGCCACGCGCATTTTGGAGGGATGACTGTTGTACATTAACTCATACTTGTTGAAGACATTTTCAAGGGTTTTCGACCCGTGTTTTTTAAATTTCACGGTAGATATGTTATCGCAAATGTCCTATATATGCGGGGTTGTGGCAAGAATTACATTGCATTTGGAGCAGGCTGGATTTTTGAGGAGGCTATAGTGGAGAATTAAATCGAACCTAGGCCTTGATTTTTATAATGCTTCAAATTCCAAGACATCGCAGCAATGTAAGTAAATGATTAGGATTATTGACATATACATTGAGTATTTGCCTAATAGAAGGGGATGATGCGAACCTAATGAGGTTGTTTGTTTTGTCATGGGAAGAAGAGGAAGAAGCATGATTATCGCCTTTGCATTCAAGTGCGTTTGATTTTTTTCATTATGGTTAATAGAAGAAAAAGATCTGGGTTTTTTTCACAAGACAAGCATGTGCGGAAATGAAATATAATGTAGAGTGGATTGAATGGATATTTCGTGCATGTGGAGAGTGGTCGGGAGCGTCAGTCATGAGGCTTCAGGGGCTTGGTACAGTCACTGTTGAAGATAAATGTACCAATCCCCATTAGATCGGAGTATGTAGAGGACAGCCCTAAAAATGTGGGAATATCGCCCTTCACATCTGGAGACCTTATGGAACACTGGTGAGAAGTGATTGAAAACGGAGTATGGTGGTGTGCGTCGTATGGAGTAGTTTGACTCAAGTAGGTGCCCAGAACCACAATGTATGCGCTAAAGCAGGCTAAAATCGTAGTTTTCGCGTGTGCTATGAGCCATTCTGGCCCAGTTGTAGGTAGGTAAGTAGGTCTTCTTTGTTACTATCGTTATTTACAATCAGCTTACGGGCACATAACTCTTGTGGAGAAACCATTTTGGGTTTCTATTGAAATGCAATCATACCCAAGTTATAATAATGTTTGCCAAATAGCGGCCAAATTTAAGCAGGTTCTGTTAAATTTATAAGAATATCGAGTTGACCTTAAAAGAAATGAAGGAAGAAAAGGAAAAAGCTAGGTCAAGAAATGTGAAACATGTGAACATTTCAGTGAAGGTGTTTGTGAAAACAGAGTGAAAATAAACTGTAGTATACGTATTACCAAGTGAATGAAAAAATGAGATACAATCAAGAAATAAATAAGAAGATAAATCAGTAACGCAATAAGATGTGATGGTAGGATAGGAGTTTGTGCAATGATGCAAAGAAAGTCCCAATTAATTTTAAAGAATTACCATCAAATAACAATTTGTGTGGGTCATGTAAACGTCATAAAAATAAATTGAATCTGTAAAGTCAATTTATTTAAGTGTATTACAAGATATTATTCCTTGATCATTAACTTTGGATGTTGTGTGTTTTAGGTTAGAAACGAAAGTCGCCTGAGATTTTTGTCAAAGAGATACTCGTGCGTGGTCTTTCTGACTCTTATAACTTTCAAGGTTCACTCCGAAGGGCTTACTGGTGTCATGAGTAGGTATAGTGCTTAACAGAAATAGCCTCACGTTAGGATGAGGGAATGCGGTCAGTCCTCTGTGTGTGTTGTGGGTTCTCTTATGTACAGCTGCATGTTATGAACTAAAAGCGCTAAAAATTTCGTCGGTTTATCCAGAGGATTCAGTCTTATTTCGTATTTTGGTGACTGAGCACGGTTTTGATCTTAGAACTAGTAACCACACTAGATGTGCTTTCGCTTTTCGGAGGCATAGGTGTAAGATCCATTTCGAATGCTTTGTGTGTCTGCGAAAATCTCTCCATGTATATACTTGCGCTTTGTTCCTATTGATCCCCTTAGTTGTACATTGTTGTCTTTTGATTACATTTGAATTGTTAGTATTTGTATTTTTTATTATAGTTTTTGTTTTTCTTACGCCTTCAATAAGTTTTGTGTTTCTTCCCGAACTGCATCAGTGTTGTTTGTTCTGTCCAAAAACAATACATCGTATAAACTGTCACCTTGTTGGGTGCACATCTGCCTCAAATTTTACCTTCACATGTTACATTCGCGGCACTTAAAAATTGATGGAAAAAAGCAGAAGAACTAACAAAAACAGTGGTTGAAAAACCTCGTTGTTTGCCATGGAACATTTTAGCATATGTCTATTAGCGGGTAGGGCCCAAACTAATCAATGAAGAAACTTCAAGTAAAACAGGAACAACACTCAGTGTGTGAAAAATTGTTATAAGGAAAGAGGAGCAAGCTAAAAGAAGGTTGATGAGCTAAATGGGGTAAATTTTTATTGATTTCGAAAAATAAAGGGTAACCTGGATTGTGTAAATCCTCATATGACTTTATCATCACAGTCTTTATTCATTTTTTGCCCCTCCTTTTTTACTGCTTTCATCAAATCCCGACCGTTATGTTTGCGCTTAAGCGGCTCGAAATGTGTGTAATAGGACAACTTGATGAAGTGGCTAAACCAACACGAAGAATGTAACACTCATCCAAGAAGCTCGCGCCAAAATTCGGGATTCACTCTCTCTAATTTCATTGGTTCGTCCATAAATTGTGGTCTAACCTTTATATGATCGGAGATACCCACTGTGAACACATCTGGCGAACAAATAGAGAAAATGGTGAATATTTTTATCCTTCTAAGTTCTTATCGAGACATGAAATTTCATAAGTCGAAAAGCATACGGACTGAAAGTTCTTTCCTTGCACTCTGACTTTGAGATGTTCTTATAGTGTCAAGACTACGGAATGTTGTGTCAGGTTTTGGGATAAATGCGGAATAAAACTTACCGAGTGTTCATATTTGGTACACAAGGTTTACGAATTTGTCACTGAGGGATTATGCATGGGGACTTCGAAAATATTGCATTCAATTGTATGAAAACAGAGGATTCATTTATTGGGAGACATCGCTTGATTTAGTGTTGCGCTTCAAAATGCCGTGTTGGATGCCATCTAGCGAGACCTGAAATTTAGTACTGGAAACTCGAAGCAATGACATTAGTGGGAAACGTGAAAAAGAAAGGACGCTTAAGTACAAAGCCTTATTGTAAAAGAAACCACTTGAAAGTGGAGAAACTGGTTTGGTGGAAACATATAGACTCATTTGTAATTAGAAACACATGGCGGTGAAATCCTAGTCACACATACCATAGACAGATACATTTTTAGAGGCATTAAAGCAAAACTATACTGATGAGTTACTACAGATCCAGGAAAGCGAACATAAAGTCAAGGGTCTAGCTGTTAACAGACATGAGTAGTATATAGCGCTAATCAGAACTGAAATATATAGCAGCGAAAGGCTGAGAAGATCGAATTGAAGAGAACATAAGTGTGAACAAAGAGTAATTTTAATAACAGTAGGAATGAAGGAGAGATGTACTTTATGAGGGACAATTGATAGAAGATGTGCAAATGAATTATTTAATGTACAGTTTCCGTATATTATGAGAAAATTCTGTAATTTTGTAATATCTGATAAATTAGCTTTCCGCACACGAGTGTTCGTTCAGTACACAGCTACTTGAAATCATTCATACACATTATTTTCGCGATCAGTTTTCCGTGTGTTATCTCCATGTCACCATGCATTTTCTGACCAAACGTAGTAGTGACAGCTTTTTGATAGACCACAGAGATCACTTTGTCCTAGCAAAATTAACTTAGCAACAACGATACAAACAGTATCAGATAGTACAGATAGTATCAAATACACGAAACTGAACAAAAGTGTACTGGCTGTCACTTAGTTTGTGTTCACATTTACTGTTCTCACCACATCTATAACTCTGGAAGAGATTTTTTCAGTACTTTATAAGAAGTTCTAGACACAAATTCTGTCTTGGTCGGGATGGTGACGGTCAGTATTAAGGGATGGAAAGTAATTTACTCACTGAGAAGCGGATGCAGACACTTTAATCTATGTCTTTCAGATATATTAGAAGAGTGGTTGACCTCATCATAATTCATAACAATCTAGGAAATCCAGGTAATCTCGATTATTCGGTCCTGTCCTTTTATTGAAGTTCATGCAGTCGCCATAGAACTTGCAAAAAATCATATTTCATTCTGCTTAATTTTACGTGTTTTGTCGTCCCATGCAACATAGCTTTCTCTATCAAACTAGTTTAGCATGCTACAAATACTTTTCTACTTATAAACTACCTTGATACGAATGGAGTGGCAGTAGCGTCAATGAATCAATGCTCTGACAAACTGAGTGATCTAATAAATTTCTTAGAACACATTATTCATAACTTTTGTCACCTAGACACTCAAATAATCCTATACGTTATATATTGGAGAACTTGTTTGACCTTACATAGTCTTCGCTACCATTGACTACATTTTGTAACGTATTCGAAACCTTAGTCTGTACAGTGCTACATTATCTGCTCTAGTTTTGATGTCAAGATTATCTTAGCCTGACTCTTGTTTTTTAATAGTTTACGTTTTTTACCATCTTTGACGAATGTAGGTTCATTTTGTGTTGATCCTGAGTTGTTAGTTGACCTTTTCAACATTCGTCACCTACGTTGTTCTGGATGTCTCCCTATTACGCGAATCACCTTCTAGTTAGATGCAAACTGCTACAACGTTGTCAATTTATAGTTCAGAATATTAAACTGTCTAAAACTCACATTCACATTGTTTCTAGTTGTTGTTGGTTGCTGTGGTTGCTAATCGTAAATTCGCTCTCTGTGCTTACTGAGTTGTCGGCTCACCTTTTCTCTTGTCCTTTTCCATCTCATATTTTTCCACCTTAAACGTGCCGATTTTATTCAAAACATGGGTTGTGTGACGTTGTGTCTCATAGTTAAAATCATGTCTCTAACAAGAACTGCTAGAGTAATATGTATTTGAAAAAATCCTGAACTGTTCGTATCATCATTCAGGATGACTAATAACGAATAGGTTGAAGTAAAAGTTAGGCAGTATCATTATTCAATCTATTTTCAAACAATTAAACAGGCTAAAGTGCATACCAACAATAATTGGAATCAAAGTGGAGTGAATATGAATGTGTATAAAACATGACTGAAGTGATTGTTTAGTTATCACTAGATATAAAGCTTTATGACGTTGTGTTGAAACTAGAACTACAGTAGTACTAGGATGTCCAGCAGTTTTATTGGAGTAGAAATTACACTGGAACTAGAGTTATGAGAACTAAGAATTCCATTTCACGGACTAAAACTGAACTGAAGTGTGGTGTTATGTACTGAAATGCTTTTAAAATATGCGATACTTAAATTATTGGACAAATAGGCGGACGGACAGGTAGACAGATATTAGAAGGATATCAATTTCGGGTCAATCACAAAATTGAGCTCAAAATAAACAACAGAAAAGAATCGGTAGATGGATAGATAGTCACACTTATGTGGTTCTAAGTTGGTTCTTATGACAAGCTACCAATGGACTTAATTAATTGTGTTCGTTTTTTCCAAATCTTTATCGGGTTTTATTTTCGATCACATTAAATCATGTTGTATTTACTACCAAAGCTGAATTGCCTCAAGGGATTTATTAGAATGTGGTTTCAGTTTTTAGCTAGTGGGTTCTTCCGCTACCTACCTATTGAGGTTTCAATAACTAATGAGCCATCATTAAAAACCTTCTAAAGATCGCTCTTAGAAGAACTTTACTATAACTTGACTTGACCGATGACAATATTTGTTACAACTAGAGGACTTCCATTATTTAGTATGAAGTTTTCAGATTCACAAAGCCTTATTACTGATGAACTAGATTTGAACCTTTTTGCACTAGCGAGTCATGTATCAAGCCTCAAGTAAGGGTCTTTATCGATAAGAAAGCTACAAACTTTGGGACATGTAACTGAAAAACATTTCTCAAGACGAAGCGTATACGAACAAGTCGTGTATCATTAGCGACATTTAGTGTGGTTTGTTTTACATACCATAAATTAACTATTGGGTAGGCAGTTTGTCCATAACAAGAATAATTCTCTGTAATTGCCTACGTTCACAGGTCAAAGAGAAATGTATAGTTTTAAGTGCCTCAACAATATCTTACCAAATTGCACATAAATGCATGTCCTTTACACTTGACACCTGGTTTTGTAGGTTTTGTATGCATAATGTAATATTCTAAAAATTCCAAAGGGCGTTAGTATTATTAGTTTTAGTAAGTTTACATACATTTATTAGTGGGATATAGTCTTTGTGGATAATGTTCTGTACAGAAGGCTCAGGAAGTTGTTTTTGTCTAAAATGTGTATCTGATCCTGTACACTCCACAACTAATTATTGTTCAGTCCATTTCCCGGTTGCTGTGAGGTTATAAAAATTATCTACTTACCTAACAAAACAGTGTTTTGAATTATTCAATGAGATCGTGAAATTTTTGCTGATATATGAGTAAGTGTGTGATCACTAAATTTTACACAGTAGGTGTTGTTTTTAAAGTTAAGAATTTGTAAGTAGTGACATAAGTACTTGTCTATAAAAACGCCTCTATTCTAAAGGTTTAAAACATGAATAGAAGTATGAAAAACGCTTTATGACTGTACCACTCCATGTAGTAAGGCAACTTTGGTGCTCGTACATTCCTCTTAAACTACATGTTGATGATGATTGGCTAACCTAAACGTTTCAAGATATCAGACTTGTAATGTTTGACAAGGGCTTATACTGATTTCAGCTTTTAACTACAGTTAAACATTCTAGAAGTTTGTATAAGTAGGGGGAAATTCGCCTTCATTAACCGATCAGTTTTAAGTAGATAACATTATTATTGTGGTTAGCTAGATACAGACTGTAATTATTGTAAGTTATAGCTATAAAACTACAACTTTGAGTGTTAAATCTTATCAGGCTGTCGTGGGTATTTTCTATGATTTCCAAACATTACGTTAAAATATGTTTGTCTTCCTGGAGCTATTAATATTGTTACTCTACTCTGCTTTTAACAGTCTTACTGATCTCTCTGTTTTACATTCTTGTATGATTTGTGATAACTGAAGTCTATTAACATTCATGAAGGAACCTAAACTGCCTATGACTAACTGACTAGCCAGTGCTGTGGTTATTATTGTAGTGTATCTGATGTTAGTACCATATGTCAGTCATTTACTTTTAATTGCTAAAGATGTGTGTAACTTAAACAATTGCAAGATAATTAAGTCTTTCTTTGGTTGTTAACTGTATGCAGAAAACTTTCAGGGCTTTATGTTAGGATCGAGTAGTCTCATAACTTTAGCGAGCTTTTAACCACTTGTCGGCGTTCATGTAGATGTGTATATACGCATATTTATTTAACAACAAATAGGAAACACTAATTAGGTAGAAACTTCTTCATCGTCTTTGTGCCTCAGTCTATAGGATGGTGAATTTTTGCTCATCTTAATATGAGTTTACCTCAATTATTGGACACCTAAGAAGGTGAAATTTCTTAAAATTTTCTTGATCTTAGATTTAAACAATGTCTCAATTAATAGAACTCATTCTTCAGGGTGACGGTGATAGAATCCAGAAGTTTTTGAAAGAATATGATAAAGATCCAGAAGGTTATCTACGATCTATGAATGAATATGACGAAATGCACAATTCTGCTATTGAATTATTTACAATATTAGATTCCAGGAATTTTATTGAAAAGGCAATAAGCAATGGTTATAACGAGCTAAATAAAACCGGAAAAAGTGGTAAGTTTTGAACTATTGTTTCAAAAAATAATTTCCTCTCTTCTACACAAAAGGATGCAATTTAGTACATTATGCCGCTATGTGGAATCATGCTGATTTAATAAAATATTTATATTTTGCTGGTGTCGACGTTTATAGAAAAAATATTCACGGCGAAACCGCACATAAACTAGCTGTTAAATATAAACAAGAAGAAGCAATGCATATTTTAGAATGGATAGGTACCTAGTGAAAATATTATTCATATGTAGATAATTTGTTTATTTAATATTATTTAGAATGTCGTGATGAATTTATTATGCTGATCCGATTAGTCAGGGAAATTTTAGCAACTTCTGATAAGAATGACTATACAAAAGAAGAAAGGGTAGGTCGGTATTCTATTTTTTAAACGTTGCGATTTAACATCATCCATGCTAGAATTTTTATTCTACCATTTTTATAGATTTTAATAAAAAAGTCACTGGTTTAAAACAATATTAACTTCCATGTAGACGCTATAATTAATAAGTAAATTTGTTAGTTTTGAACAGCAAGGAATCCATCCGGTCTAGATACTTATTGTCAAAAGAGAAAAGATTTTATGAAGATTTGGGACATCCAGAGTATCTTATATGAGGTTCTGTAAACGTTATTACTAACTTTTTGAACTCTAAACAATGGAGAAACGTCTACGCAAAAAACCGTGGTGGAAAATAAAATTTTCAAACATCTTGAATTCATGAAGTTTTACAAAATCCTGTTGACAAGCTACTAATCGAACCCTAAGCACCTACAATATATATGTGTGATCTACTATTCTGTTAATAAAAAAGACTACTACACATTATAAATCATCTATACAGGAGGTAAATACAAAACAAGTGTTATACGTAGGTATTAGATTTGGGCCTTGGAGTAAACAATAACTTTAAAATGCAGGTGCATACAGCTGAGAAGTCCCAGATATAAGAAATTAAGTGTCCTAGACTTGACTAATAAACACTTACCATCCATTGGCTACCTTAAAACTGTTGCTAGATCCCTTAATTGAGAGATTTTACAGCATAACATTCATTTGATATCACTGTTGAGTTCATGTTTTGGAAACAATGTTCAGGTTGTTCAAACAGATAACGTATTACATTTACTGTCGTGAGTAAATAAAATTATCTTAGTTATAGAATATGTTTATGGGAGGGAAAAGAAGTAAAAAACAAACTCCTATCCCAGTCATATCCTAGTAAGCTATTAAAATTACTGACTTACACCATTTGGAGGGTCATTAAAAAGCTCTTGAACAGCCGTTTTGTTCCAGTTTTGACCTTCCCAACAGTCTGTATACACTACCTTATGTTGGGTAGAATTAGATGCTATCTCTTCACTGTTCTGGCTTCGAATATATACGAGATAATGTGGCCACTTCTGAATAGTTCGAAACCAATACGGAACTGTTACCTAGCCTTCTATGGTTCTAGTGGTTTCCCAAATTATGTTGATTCTTGATAGGAATTACTTATAATTTATACAAATCCCCCCCTGTAAACCACTTATTTTTTAAAACTAATAATGTCTATTTTTAGTCTTGATAAGTTTAACATTTTATGTTTTTAGAAAATTGCAGATTCTGCTTGTCTTGATGGAGAATCCTGGATTAATAAAAATAAAGAAGCTACACTCAGCATGCTTAAAACAAAAAAAGAACAAATTGAATTGATTGTAGAACCATTCTTACGGAAGAAATCATTAGTCATGTAGTGTGATGAAATAATATCTTACCATATTGTATGGCAAAATCCCAAATAACATTATTTTGCATTTACTTTTCCAATACTGAGTATGCAACAAAATTTTAATTTGATAAGTGTATACAGATCTGTTTTTAAAAATAGTTTGTTATGTATGTATTGTGAAATCAGTCTCTCAGGACAGTTATGATGTTATTGGGTACTGTTCAGTGATGGCTTGATTCACAAGACTTTGATTTGTACTAGGAAAGCTTTTCTAGTTAGCTGTTAAGTAAATGAGCTCAGTACTTTCAAATTTCTACCTTAAGATAATTATAATATAGTTATATAATGAAACATAGTTTCTAACTAAAAGTGTACGATAAAGTTAAATATTTGTGTAAGACGTTTAGTTTTATAGATTATTTACAAAGTATGTTTTCAGGTATTTGAAATTGGATCCTCACAGTGTTTATGCTAGAGTTATTAACATGACTATATTAATCAAACAGAAGTTAGAGGAGTGATGTTCAGCTCCATATCTAACTCGTTGAAAGTCAACAGTTTGCAACACTAAACAATAGGATTATTGTATCCGGACAAGTCAGTGGTCTAGAACCTCTCACGACAATATTATACGATGTTCGCCCGCAAAAGTTGTAGATTTGATTCTGATATGTTATTAAAAACATTCATGTCATTATCAAAGTGATCTTATAATACCCGTTTGCTTAAATTATCTAATTTACCATACGGTCTCACCATTAAAATATTCGATTAGTATAAATGTTATATTGCCTAATGAACAAAATCGCTAGATAAAAATTGTGGAATATCTGACATAATGGCTGTAGTTTAAGAGCCAACACTTCATAATGGTTAATTATGACAAGTTGGGTGGTCGCTTTTTCAGCTGCAAAATATACAGAGGTAAGGATAGAATAAGTATTAATATTCTCTCATTTCAAATAATCTAGTATCAGTGCCTTAACGTTAAAATTCTTCATAAGAAACCCTAAAATAACCAGGCTAAATTAAGACGACGTGACGCATAAATACTGTGTGTCGCCAAGACGAATTGTAAATTAATTGATTCTGCATATTTAAGGTGCATGAATATACGTTCTTATCGAAGTAATTCATAAGGCACAGTAAGTTAACATGTCAATGTGAAGAGCAAAGTTTTGCCAAAACTAGTGTAGCAAACGGGGATACGAGCGGGGATAATCGAATGCATTTGAGCACAAAATTACAAAACACCTTAGTAAAATCTGAGAACCATGCAGCAAATACTTAATTTGCAAAATATCAATCAATCGTCTAAGACTTCATTGTTCTTTCGTTTCCATGCCAATCATTCTCTGTTCATGTTCTCTTTTCTTTGATCTTCTTAACCTTTCACCACCAGGCATTTCATTTTCAATTGATGATACATACCACTTATATCTGTCGAGATCAGCAGCACACACCACACTAGCATGTTCATAAATAGAGCCATTAGATGTCACATAATTGTGAACATTTAAGCATACAATTATAAATAATCGTCCTCATGGAGTCTCGCACTTACAATATAATAATGAGCGGAAGAAATTCAGTGACCAGGAAAATGTAAGGTAAAGGGGGATATACATGGTATTTCTGCGTAACAAAACTCGACAGATTTGGTCGAGTCAAATTTTCTCATCTAATATTTACCTTCAGTAGACCAATCAGGAAGATCTATGATACATTAAAGCGACATTAATGAGAAAGTTGACCAGAGTTAAATATAGATCACCCATCCACTTTTTGAGGAAGATAATTAGATGTTCTTCCGTTTTTCTATCCATCTTGAAATAAAAAAAGCTAACCATAAGTTCATTGCATCGTGGAAGTGTCAAGTTTAAATAATATTTACACCAGTAAACAGAATTATGAATAGTAATTAATTACGTAATTTTAAGCTGCAACAACAAATAAAGTAGAGGTTTAACTTTTCAAACTTTTAATTGTTCTCTGAAAACACGACTTAAGAGACTAGAGTCATGGTTTCTTTCGTCTCTTTATTGAAATCCTATAGTCCTCATGATTTTGTTTGAAATGTACAATATCGCTTAGTGATAATAAAATGTATTCTGTTCACAATTAATTGGTCATCAGTTGTCGACCAGTGGCATGTTTACCTAGTTAAGTATGATGAGTCGAGATTGAATCCTCCAAGAACCATCAGATCAGATTAGTATAAAACCTAGATCCAAGGATTCCTGTCGACTATTGACAATCACCCCTTTTTAATTAAAAATTTTGATAGTGCATATATTTATCATGAATTAATTTAGACTTTTAAATGATTTGTTATGTTACTATACATAAATGGGTAATAGCTATGAATATTTATTAAATAATGAATAAAATAATGCAAGAACCACAGCATTGGCTAGTAGTTTACGGATTCACTTATCGTTTGCACACTGATATCATGAAGTAAATCACTTTAGAATATGTTATCATTGTTATATTCTAACATTTTAGACTACCTTCAGATAATTATTCATGAACCTGATAACTATTTGGACGAGACTATAACTTATGGACGAACCAATTACAGATAAGATAATGAGTCACAAATTTCGGCTCGAAATTCACCCGTACATTTGGCTAAACAGAGTTTTGACACTATAGCTGATATCAGTTCGTGATGAAAACCCTAAGTCTTGTTTTTAACCCTAACCATCAACTATAAATGAGAATTCTAACTACTTTATAACTCTCATTTAGTCCTAATCAGTAGGTGTCCACTCTCAAGGTCACTTCAATGTCGTTCAAAGGTCGTCCATCAATTATAGTCTCACCACTATTTGTATTCTTTTTGAATCATTTAAGTTGAATTTTCAATACTATCAAAAAAACAAAATCAGTAGTATTAAAAGAAAATAGTTATTTTTTGCTAAAAATTATTTTTCTGTGAAATATTGTAGTCTCACAATTAACAAATGAACACACAACTAATAATTATAGTAATATTGTAAATTGAAGTGAAGTATTACAACGTACAATTGAATATTCTTTTAAATAATCAATTGATACCAACATTTTGTTTATCAGTCATGAAAATTGACGGGAATGATATATAAGAAGAAGTTGATCATTTGAATAATCGAAAAAAAAGAGACATTTTATCATATAACTAAATTGAAATGAAATACAGTTTTAGAAACGTTAAACTTTACATCTTTATAAAAGTGGGATGAATATTAAATTTTACAAAAAAAAAAGAAAAACAAACGAAAAAGAAAAACCGAAGAAAGAATTCACAAATATGTATGTATTCTAGTTTTGTAATGATAAACCTCTTTGTGAGGTGGAGGGGGGAGCGTTGTGTTTTTCCCATGTGTAATCATTTGAGGAATGTTATTTCGGAAGTAATTACTATTCGAAATAAAATAAATCATGAATGTCGAAGTTTGTTTTTAAGTGTAAAAGATTATTGAAAATAATGGCTATACAGTTTAACATTCAACTTAGAAACCGGAAATATTAGTTAGGAGAGTAAATGAGTATAAAAGAAAAATTTAGAAAAAACCCAGAAAAAAACAGAAGTGGATTTAACCAGAGAGATAGAGAGGGAGAAAAAAGGCAAAAGAAGTTAAACAAAACAGTCAGATAGATGGGTTGACCTGATTTCAGTGTTATCTACATTTGGAATAGCAGAGAAATCATTGGTAATGTGTTGATTTTGTAGTTGTTGTTGACGGTTGAACTGATTTGAATATAACAATCTTGACGTTTCAAGATTTTCATTGTCTGCTAAACTGCCTAGTTGTTCGTTGTATTGATTTAAATTAGAGATAAGATGATTATCATCAGTATTATTCATCAATTCGATCTTGTGCATATTTAATTTGGATTTTGATAAGCATGAATGGAAGTTATTTATATTGTGCTCCTCTTGAGAAGGTGCTAAATTAGAATCAGGACTTGAATGATCATTTTGTATGTTGATATTACCTAATAAAAGCTGTAAATTAAACAAAAAAACATTGGTTATTTGTAACAAATTACATTGTAACTTTGAATATAAAGTATTACTGCCTATATGAAATTGGGCCGAAATGCCTACATCGAGGAGATTCGAACAGGATATAGATAAACCAACTAAGAGATGTCACTTAGAATATGAACAATGAGACAAACCGATTTGGTGGCTAAGTGGATAGTGAAATGGCATCTTGAGGGAGCTGTATTGAGTTCGCGCCCCGCAGTGAACCTCAAGTAGGATGCAAGTAAATCCAATAGGAGAGTCTCACACAGGGTAAGACGAGGGTCTTGGACTTCACTGTTAGTTACATTCCATCTAATTTACATTTGAAAGTAATTTTCACCATTGAATTTTCAAAACCAGAGAACCGTCGGAATCCAAGTAGCGTTTAATGAAAACTTAATTCTAGTTTTTAAGCTTCTTAACAATTCTCTTCTACAGGATCAAACTTCAGATTTCTTGGTGTAGATTTCATTTATAGACTAGTAAGTTAACATATGATAGTTTACACTTGTGACTAGCTAATTCTTCATGTAGTATAATTGTGAGTTCATGGTTTCGAGGAGTTATAAGCTTGGATTAAACAGATTTTTAATTCTACTTGGTTTACGAGGGTCCTTAATGGCACGCCATTCGGTGATAAAAACCACTCCCAGAATTTAAAAGAACTTCAAATGTTCAATTTGATAAGTCTACAATTTTCGATGCATATTGAAACTGAATCTTAACACATACGGTTTGAGACAGCCTCATAATCCTTACGATATTTAATAATTAGTTAACATATACAAGCTACTACACTTCAAATCGCGAAACAAAGTAAATTGGTTTTACTCAGTTTATATTGAAAGAGTGTAGGTGATCATTTTAATCACAGATAAAGACTCTAATAGATCCCTCTAACTGCTAGAAGAGAGTTGGATTTTTTCACTATGTATATATAATCTGATGAAAGAAAACGTATGTGACTGAAATAGTGACTTTATTCTAATTTACTAATTTTAGTTTCAAGTGTTAATCTCATCATCGTAATCAAAAGTAAATAGAGCAAGAACAAACATTGATGCAGAATAGTATGAATTCATATTATTTCGAGGTTTCTCGTCAGCTGCTTACAAACCAAAATCGTGATAGAATTTTTACATGGAGATAGTGTGAAACAATTGACATAAATGAGTGTAAATAACGTGATTACAATAATAACTATATATATATATATATATTCACAGTTTTTGAAATCATGAGTCAGTTGAAGCTAGACCACCATTGAAAACCTGGAAGCACTGGACGGCCGTTTTCGTCCTGGGATGGGACTCCTCAGCAGTGCGCATCCACGATCCCGCACCACGCGGGGCTCGAACCCAGGACCTACTGGCTTCGCGCGCGAGCACTTAACCACTAGACCACTGCGGGATCGTGGATGCGCACTGCTGAGGAGTCCCATACCAGGACGAAACGGCCATCCAGTGCTTCCAGGTTTTCAATGGTAGTCTAGCTTCAACTGACTCATGATTTCAAAAACTGTGAAAATTGTAAAATTCTCCACAAAACCCATTCTGATAATATATATATATATATGCTAGAAACAGGTCAGAGGTCAAACGAGGGGTATTAATCCAGGGTGGGTGGCGTAATAATTTAGTGAAGTTCATAAATTGTGTGATAATTGTAGAGATTAATGGAATTAAATAATGATAAGGTAGATTACGTAATAATAATGAAATAGGGTTTGGAACGTAACGTAGAACCTGACGCATTTGTGCATCAGCTCAATTTGTCATAGCATATCAGTATAGCGGGATGAAATTATTCCAAAACAAACTCCAGAGCAGTAGAAGTTTTAATAGTGTTAGTAATCGTAAAAAAATGAATATAAAAAAAAGAGAAAAAAGGAAATCTAGGAATTCAGGTTCTAAAAGAAGGAGTAAATACACGTCTTCCATTGAGGATTCAGAGATATATCACACAGTCCCTGACCACTAGTTACGATTATCATGTCTACACAAACCAGGTAGTCTACACCTACCTACACCTCTTATATCAGCAATAATTGGTTTCACTGATTGACGATGCGTCTTGGTTTTGCTACTCGAAGCCATCTTCCACTCTACTTCTACACCAGACAACATCACACGTCGCGGTAGGTGGTTGTTGGACATACGTAATACATGTCCCAATTCTATCGTCTAATAAGACTTTACAATCTCATCAATCGGCTTTTTTCCTTTTTACTCTATTCCTAACCTTGGGATTGATTGCTCAGTCGTCTCAAAATACACAAGCGTTGCTTCGAAGACACTTGTAGTTGAATATCAGTAACCAACAAATATCCTCTATTCTTAATGTGTACGATTCATATATATGAAGTAGAACGATAAACTCATTCTCTTATTGACAGACAGACACCTCGCCTGTATCATAAAAGACGTGAGTTGGCAAAAGCCAAATGAACTTTCTGAATCTGTGCTGAGATTTTACCGAACACCAGCTTATCAAGAACGATGAGACTTCCAAGGTAAATGAAGTGGTCGATAATTTCAACCACCTTACTTAATTCAAGTGCTAACTTAGTTAAGTAGATTACAACTAGAAATAAAGGATTATGAAGAATGATAAACAAACCTGAGCAGTCGGCCCACCACTGTATTGAATACGTCTAAGTTGATCCGCATAACGACTACGATCGGAATCTTTGTCCTCTTCGGAAAAATTATCTAAAATATTGGATTGATAAGTCGTTAAAAAACAAACGTAATTTAGATTGTCACTAAAATAGTCTTTTAAATTTAATGTCTTAAACCTATCACATCACTGGATACTTTCAGTATATACGTGAACAAATTAGTAAGCTGATTAATTGTACAGTAACAATTGAAAAACATTTTTCTAAACCTTCAGTATATTTAAGTGTTCTAGTTTCACTTTTAGTGAATTAAAATGTTATTGGCACCTTGTTTTAAAACCAACATTGAAGAGCTGGAGACACTTAACGGACGTTTCGCCATAGTATTTTAGACTGAAAAAAAAATTATTTCAAGATAGGATAAAATTTAGATTGTCTTACTCTCCAGCTTCTCGTATGTGAATAACAAAGGCTATTGTTTAAAGTATTTCCAAAGTTTGTGTTGGTTTTAAAAGTGTGACCCATATTTTTTCAGATATGAGAGCCTGATAATAATAATAATATATATATATATATATATATATATATATATATATATATATATATATATATATATATATATATATATATATATATATATATATGCATAGACAGAGGTCACGACAACGTTATTTCATGTAATTAAGGTGTATCGTCCTTAGCTCGTTCAGAATACTTCTCATTCATTGAAATGCACTTGTCTCATGTTTCGTTGTTTTGTCCAACAATATCTACTAAAATCCTCTGAAGTTAGGCTCTTCAAATGTTTCTTTTCCTGACGCTTAACGTATATCGTCTTCTTAAGTTGAATAGTTTCACTAGTTTAGTTCGGCAGCAATATTTTAGAAGGGTAATCAGCGAAAATCAACAGAGACCATACATCTGAAGTCTCAGTTAACACTAATAGTTAACAGTTCTTTCAGGTTTCTAGCGTTTTTGTAGTCTGCACAGCTCACATTGAAACATTTGATCTACTTTAAGAGAGAGATTTTCTTTCATGTTCTATCTCCATGAACAACATCAAAAGTTCCATGAGTTATTCGGAAGTTTTTGCTAAATTTCAGGGTAAACCTAAATGAATTATTTGACGTATTTATTATACAGGCTATGTGACTTACAATCCTGGAGGTTTAATGTGAGATTAATTAAGGTCAAAATTTATTGTCAGAAAGTTAAAGAGTATATTCAAGCCGCTTTACAAGACCGACTGGCTAAAATTAATCTACTTAAATTTCTAACTTATGTCTATAAATATAAATGATAGACTTACCAATGACAGAATTCTGAGTGTTGAGTGTATGAAATGACTGCTTACTATTATGTAAACTTGATTTTGATTTCAAGCAAGTAGAACAAGAATATGGTAATCGTTTGTGACATTGAATTTGATGGGGTTTGTGCATAGAATATTGTTGTTCACAATTACATTGGTTTTGAAGAGTAAATAAGTCACTAGATATTGCATGAGAAAGATTGTTTACACTTTGTCGATTTTCAAAATGAGGTATATTTTTTCTGGATGTATTCGACTGAATAACTTCTCTTGATGAACAAAAATAACGTGTACTTCCAAAATTAGGTTTTGTCTTGAAGTCATATAATGGAATATAGGGAATTATTGAAGTGACAGAATACCAATATAAACAATTCTTAATATAGTTAACTTACATAACATCGTAATTATGCATGCATATAACGTTCAAATTATTTAGGAAATATTTACTATTTAGGGAAAGGATAGAAAGCATATTAAATATGTTGCACCGGGACGTAGCTTGGAACTAGAACCTGGTCTGTGTGTACAGGGGTTGGTGAATGTATCATTAAAGGAGTAACAGACATTTCACCATTTACCTCATATAATTTGCTATTATCTTGAGTACAGTTTATCAAAGAATTTGACATCAACAAGGAATCCGATGCACTGGGATCAAGGGATAAAAATATAGGTGTACACGATGGACCCATATTGTAGTTAAACGGTGCACTGTATGAAAATGTTGCTAAATCTGACCCTAATTCCATTGATTGAGGATTAAAATGATCTGGAAAAGACGTTACATTTATAGAGACTATTGGTGAACTCTCACTAGGTATATTATTTGTATTAAAAAATCCATTGGTCAAATTGTTTCTTTCATTGATATTATTAAATTCAGATTTTCGTTTAATCTGTGAAAATGCAGCTAATCCAGTAGATAATATTTCTGTGGAACTATTATCTGTTTGATTAGAAACAACATTTTGAACTGATGAATCTATTGAATTATTAACTATAGTTAAACCTATACTATTACTATCTACAGTGATTGAATTATTCACTGAAGCTGTAGAAGAAATTATAGTTTGTAATCGTTTACAATCTTTTATTTTATTATCAATAATAAACTGGTCATTTGTTATTTTTCTATATGAATTAAGATTTTGAAGTGTCTAAATTTATTTAAATAGAATTAATAATTCACAACAATAAAAGAAAAGATGTTACAACATAAAGAGACAACAAACAAGAGAAAAGAAAAAAAAAGAAAAAAAAGGAGGCATAATTGAATATGTAGTACAAATTAGTAAAATATTTTAAATCATTATTAAATTATTCATATACAATTTATCAATATTGATGTGTATTGAAAACTGTGTACTTCTTTCCTCGGTTATGTTATAGTAACTATCCTATAATCAATTTTCATCATGGTTTATTTTGGTTAAACCCTTTTATGAACTTACTTAAGGGATAATGTTATTAGAACAGTAACAATTCACATATTTCTTGGTACTGTTATGATCACTAGAATACATGACAGGTTCTAGTGAAAATGTTGATTGCTTAAATATTACTCGATAATTCATTCTCCTCCCCATGTATATTTGTACTCAAATCTTAGTATTAGCTTTTGCTTTGTATTGCTTCGCCCAAATGCAAATGGAATATAAATTTGCCTATGTAATTGCTTGCATATACTTATTTACCTCTGATATGATGGAAACAAAAGTCAATTTTCGATTGATTCACTCATTATGAGTTATGGTTCAAGATTACTTCCGTTTTGATTCACTGTAATGGTTATTCAATGTAGTATTTGTTTTCTTTTCTCGTATAATATTTTGTTCTGTATAATATACGATATTCTTGCACTCCATTGATATGAACTATCCTCAGTGTGTGTTTTGTTATATATGTGAAGCCATCCTAATTATTAATCAAAAATGGGTATACAACCAATACATAAATGAGTGTATTTTTTACTAGAATTGCCGTTGTGTTTTGGGGTTAATAAATCATTACTTATACCAGTTTTTGTGTTCATACTTTCGCGTCGTGGGAATGGCGGAGGTCTCTCGTTCCGACTATAAGTGATAAGCGTTTCCGACATAACAATCAACGACAACCAGATACATAAAGTAGCATTAAAAGAGCCAAGACAATAAACATTCAAACGACAAATTATAACAGCCTCTCTGCTTCAAATACACTCGATGTGCTTATAGGTTTATGATCTTTACTATCCGCTAATAATCTATAGTTGCCACTTTTCATTGCCTTCTGATTTCAAACACCGTTGAAATTTATGTAATAACGGTTACAAGAGTGATTGATTAACGAAGTAAAGCCATTACAATGTTTATGTTAACTAGTGTGCAGGTTCATCAGTGAATATGCTTTTTCAGTAATCACTTAATATTCAAAACTAGCTTACTATTTTTTCTTATCAGTACACTCTGTTATATCTAGTAGTTCTGATTATATTATGATCAAAGTTTTTCACATTAGAAAATTGTGATCAGTTTCGGAAAGTGCTTTTAGTTCAGTTTATTTATGTTAATGGTATCAGTTAATTCAGTTATTGAGAGTTAGTCTGAACAATGTTGGTAAGTTTTGAATACCATGTTGGACGAATGCGCTTATCGTAACTAGTAGTTGGAGAAGTTGGATGACGTGTTGCAGAATTGCTCATTATGGTCCGGGTGAATTCACTATTTTTCACTATTTTTATACCTTGTTCTTCCACAAATTGTATTGATTGAACCTACTCTTTTGTACTACAACTGTTACTATTCCTGTGGTGGGAACTACTCACAAGAATGTAAATGCATAGTAACTTCTCGCAATAAATACATATGTCTCTCTTCTATTGTAGTGTTTTACATTTTTACTTTTACTATCCTGGTATTTATTTTAATAGTTATATATCACCTAGCTAATTTACTGCATCAACTTAAACCGAAGCCAGTATGTACTGGGTTCTTTGTAGGTTATAACTGATAAACTGATTATTTAACTGAGTTTAGTGACTTACTAGCTTGTTGTAGTTAAGTGATTATATACAAATATATCTTCCATAACAATAACACCGAGAATTTCCCTACAGGTATTAGGACTTTAAAATAAAGAAATTTGATAAAGAGTCCAAGTAATCTAAGAGTACAAGTTGAACACAGTTGAGTGATCTGTTAAAACCTCAATGTATCACTGATATTACCGCAAACAAGTGGTATGTTTTCTGCTACTTACTGCTGGGGACAGTTAACATTTAAATGGTTCATCTTAGGTTCTGTACAGGAGAACGTTATATTGATTTAAATGTATTATGTTAGATATTTATTAATAAATGTTGGTTCAATAAAAAATTAGCTTACACCATAGTAACGAGACTGATTTGGTTGCCTTGGAGTGTGTTGACCATGACGAGTAGAATGTTTTATGCTTCCATGTTCATATCTTAATTGATTAACTGGATTTGCTGATGAATAAACTATTCCGAGTTCAGTAGAACCATGACGAGTCATTGGATAATTCAGCGTATTATTGTAATATGGATTTGGAGATGCTAAATGGCGAACCGGATAACTTGTTGTCATTTGATTAGAAGTTAAGTGATTAAAATCTGGATTACTGCTTGTGATGTTATGATTCATCAAATTTCCTTGTTGATCAACATCTGTAGGTATATACTGAGAACATTGAGATGGACAAATATCATGAGGTGCATAACCATGTGTACGGGAAAAATTACCATAAGAGTCTGCTTTTACATAACCTAACAAACAAATAATAATATTGAACAATGAATGGATGGTAATTAAGCTAGGTTAGGTATTAAATAATGTCATTTAATTATAAACAGTTGCATATAATACTTGTAAAGCAACAAATATATTTGCAAATCATTCTGAAGGCTTAGAATATTAATAGATAATAAAAAACAGTAAAACTCACATGATTATGGGTCTTATAGTCTTAAAATATTTAGTATTTAGTGACTTCAGTAAGAATAAATTTAACTCTGTTGGGGCAAATTTCTTCGTAAATGGAGTAAGTCACTGGATGAGATTGTTTGACCTATGTGTTATGCCTAATGATCGACCAATAGTTCAGTGTACCGTACTTACTGAAGTTTTTTTAACGTTGAGAGAAAATTGAGAATAGTCAGACCAAAACAAACAACTGCTTCACAAAGTTACTAATTATTAACTTGATACTTAAAAGAATTCCTAATGTTTTTGTCTGGCATTATTGAAATTATCAGAATGGGGATTTGTGGAAATTATAGTAACCTTGATAGTTGAATTCATGAGTTAATCTACGCTAGACCATCATTGAAGAGATGGAAGATCTGAACAACCGTTTTGTCCTAGTATGGAAAACCTTAGTAGTGCGGGACCTTGCATGCGCAGTTCTATGGAGTCCCATACTAGGACAAAACGGCTGTCCAGAACTTCCACCCTTTCAGTGGTGATCTAGCTTAGACTGACTCATGAGTTCAACTGTTAAAATTATTGAAATTATAAAGAGCACTTGTCAGCCGTTAAAAACTTAGTAATGAGGGTTTCAGCTTATCAGATGATCAAACTTCATTCACGACAACCTGTATAGACACCCTGAGAGGAACGACTATTTTTTGCACTTGGTTTTTCATTCATATTCTGGCATTAAAAAACCTGACAGTTAAGTTATAATTATTAAATATTAAATATGGTACTTATCAATATTAAGTAGTATGAAATGAAAATGGACTAGTTTTTGACTTTCAATGGTCCTAAAAGGTACATTCTTTAAGTTGTAAACAGTTATAAACTAACAGCTATGAATGGAATAACATATTTATGATTATATATACTTATTTTAGACCTGAAAAGCTCGAACAAATAGTTCACAGTGAAGAAACTGTGGCTGCTAGAGTCAGAAAAGGTTAAAACAAGGTAGTTATGAGGTATACATTTAGTAGTGAATTGAATGAAGTTATAAAATCTGAAAAATCAGATACTGACAGTCCTATGTGTTTGCCACTGACGAATCTGGAATTGTAGTAAAACATCCATCCAGTGTTCCCCTATTTTCGATGGTTTAGAAACTCGTAGCTAATACTCTCTTTCCATGGAAGAAATCTGTAGAAACAACTATCCCAATTATTTGCTGAATTCTAAAAGATTAGAAGATGAATTCCCACTGTTTTCATCCCTGCTTATAGCTACTTCTCTAGAGAATAGATGAACCGAAAAGTTTAGTATATGTAGGCTAAGTAGATTATCGAATTATATTATCAGTGAATAAATAGATATAGGAAAAAACATAGTCTATAATGTATATTATTCATCTTCTAAAGTGATCCTCTTTATTATTATTCCTAAAACTATGAAACAACAATCTTTCACTGGGTAGAAAGTAAACGGCTATCACTATAGTTAGCACATCTTCTAAATTAAAAGTGGATTCGGATGTGGACAAAAATTTGAGTAGAATCAACAACTGATTGGTACTGTTTTATTGAAAGTAATTTGTAAAATCTACTTAAATTTTCTCATCTATTTTTCCACAGCTAAACTAGGTGTCATTTAGTAAGAAATCATTCATATTTCGTTTAGTTCATGTGTAATCAATATATCAGTGAGTGACGATGAACTCTGTATTGAAATAATCAGATACTGTATATTTGTAGCCATATAGTTATATCTAAGAGTGAACCTTATTGTATTATATATGATTCATAAGTTTAGTACGGTTAGAACATTCATTTTGTGTGATGGTCATTTTTTAAAAATTAACTACCAATAAATTACAGAGTTAAGTTTATTCCAACAGTAGATTTGTACGTGACTATTTATTTATCTAATTAGCTTTTTTATTTTATTGAGATTCATTATCCTAGTATGAATGATATTACATTGATGTGATAAGTCAGCTTTCTTGAATAATGTGTGAATGTTTATAACATAAATTAGTGATTAGTGAAATAATAGATTGTATTTTATAGAATAGTTTAGTGTTTAATTATAATGATGAATAGTTTAGATTACAAATTTCTCTTGAGAAGCTATTCAATTTTCTATCAATGACAATAAATTAATGTAGCCATCGACACCATCAATCATCTCCTTAATGGAATAATAGTTTCATCAAAATAATTGATGTGTCATACGTAGGTAATATCAACTAAACTGTAACATATATATGGCTTTTTATTTTCTATTCTGATTATCAGTTAATTTATATAAAGATAGAAAGTCAATAAAATTACGTTACCTGAACTTGTGAGTTTTTTTTTGTTAGGTGGACAACATATACATGTTGTACTGATATCTGTATCTACAAAATTATCATTTTGATCAATAAAAGATGATTGAAGATGTGCTTTCATATCAGTACCAGATTGATCATGACGTGTTAATGCAACTCCATTTGTCATAGTAACTCCTTGATCAGATTTATATTGTCGTCTTCTCATCATATTACGATGACGACGTCGTTTAATTAAGAAAATAATAACTATGACATTAATAAGAAGAATAACAAATCCAAAAACACATGCAGATACTATGATTAATAAAGCATTGTCATCTGAATAACCAGAATTTGATAAGGGTGGCATAGGTTCACGTCCATTGTATGAATCTACTATATAATAAAGGTTAATAAAAATAAATTATTCTAAGAATTACGGTACAGAAAATAGAATAATATAATTCCTTTTTAAATAGGCATACTCGTTTTCTTTGAAAGTATCTATTCAACTGCATAGTCTAAACGAATGATCCAAATTCGTTGAATTATGTTCTTTTTCAATTAAAAATTGTGATTATAAAACCTATATGGAAGTAATTTCTGACACTTGTTAGTGTGAAAACTTGTCATTTATTGTAAACAGACTAAGCGTTCAAAGTCATCTACAAGATGGCGAGAACACATAACAACACACTTTCAGCGTGGAAAGATGAAGAAAAAGATTTAATGTCTGTCTTTCAAAAGGATGGCTACTCAACCAACTTCATTAAAAATATCAACGAAACGCATCAGCAGAAACAAAACGGAGTACAAAAACGAATAAACGGGTCGTCCTACCATATATTAAAAGGCATTAAAAGTTACGAAGCCGTTTGGATTAGGTGTGGCACAAAAACCATCAAAATCACTTCAATCAATCCTATTTAAACCAAAAGACGAAGTGACAAAAGAAGAAAAAGCGAACATCATCTACAAAATAAATTGTCCCAAATGTGAAAAACACTACATCGGACAAAGTGGACGCCACCTTCATCTTTGCCTACATGAATATCAATTGGTGGTCAAACACAATGACATATTCTCGCTTATGTACACGCATGTGGACAACTGTGGACATATATTCGACTGACAAAATGTCGAGATCTTGGATAGAGGGAATTCTAAAAACAGCAGAGAATTTTAAGAAGCTTGGCACTCAGATCAATCAGCAATCATTAAACACATCGAAGCAGATCAAATTTATCAACCAATCAGAAAAAATCATGGACAAATATAGGACCAAGAATCAAACCAATGGAAGATACTTTCAGAATAAAGAAGTAAATAATAATAGGCTAAAGGTCAACAATACTCAGTGAAGATCGTGGTCTACAGGACAAACTGTGAGTCAAATGTGAGAAAATTTAAACACTTTCTTTCTAGCCTAAGTTTGTGCTGATGATGTTGTTGAGAAAAACAATGAAAGCTCTACGACCAAACCATCCAGCTCAGAGAATAAATTCCGTCAAAATCATTTACATGAACTACAAATTTTTCCCACCATGTCACAGTTTTATTCATGGAACTAATCACTGGTGAAAAACTTACTTGGTAGTGTTCTTAAATGAATAGGGTCTGTGTAGGCACTAGATCCATGTTTTGAATTCATAGAATTCACACTGACTATGTATTCACTTCCAGGTTTTAAACCTATAAAGAAGAAAATATAGTATAGATGTTAGAATACCACTGGAACTAATACATGTAATTAACATAATAAAACATGTAGTATAAGTACATTAGAACTAAGAGAATAGAATAGATTGTTCGTTTATTCACAGCAACAATATTCTATTCCTAATAGGTCCCAGTTGAAAGTTGTTCATTAGCATCAACCTTAACGATCTTAATAATAATAATAATAGTGATCAGTCCACCGGTGATTAAAAATAGTTTGTATGAAATAGAACAGTTAAACAATAAATTATTATTCAGCTCTGCACACGAAAATATGTATGCAAATAAAATGCATTAGAGTGATAACAATATTTTCAATGGTATAAACTGATTAGATATACAACTTAGCTAAGACGAAATATTTAACCAGACTAGAGTTTATTTATGTCTAAACTAAAAGTAACTGAATGATAAGTAAAACTGAAATCATAAGGTACTTGTTGATTACTCGATTTCGGATTCTAAATACAATAAATTCGTTTGTGCTTGTCTAGTATTTCTTGATTCGATTGCGTTAATTTTGGGATTCCAAGTTCATACGATAATTCAAATACTTTCAAACATTATAATAAGTTAAGTTTGACAAACACAATTGAAGTAAACAAGATCATCTTTTAGTTAATTGGATAATTATTTTATTTTGTTTTTTTAAATGTTTATATAAAAATAGGTTATTACTATTATTTCAAAGCAGAATGTTCTATGCATAGATGGATAGTGGCTAGCAGTGATATCCATCTTTGCTTAAAAAGCTTATCAGCTCACTGAAGACAATTGTGTAAGGTGGCGCAATTTCGTGGATTGGTTGAAGTTAGACATTAACACCGTTGGATACCGGCTCAGTGGTCTAGAGGTTAAGCGCTTGCGTACGAGACTGATAGGTTCTGTGTTCAAATCTCACGGAGCGCGGAATCGTGGATGCGCACTGTTGAGGAGTCCCATACTACGACGAAACGGCCGTCCAATGCTTCCAGGTTTTTCATGATGGTCTAACTTTAATTGACTCATTTCAACAAGTGAAATTTCTAAAAAGCTTATCACTTAAGGCTATAATCAAGACAATCCGCACAGGATGCACATATGCCAACAAGAGACTGATCAATTACGATCCTAAATAACGATGGGAAGATACAAGTAAAACAACACCAAGTAAATTTAGAATGTTTTATTTTTTCCAAGGTTAAATGCTTCCTATTTTAAGAACGATAGTTACAAATAACTTGGGTTCTCAAATCTCTTTTAAAATAGATGAACAGTATATTCTTGTCATGTATTGTGTAGCCTATTCGTTTAAAGACATAATGTGTTAGTCTTTAGTGTTACTTGTTAACTAGCAAAATACAAAAAATTTCTGATTAAAAACAATTTTGTTAAACTGAATTTTTTCGTTGATTTCATTCACATACTACTTTTATATCATCCTTTAGATTCCATACTGTATTCTACCTGGGAATCAGAGGTTTACCAATTAGAGAATTTGAAATGATGCCATTCCCTTTTGTGAAATATTATATAACCAATAACTTGATTGATCTGTAGAAGTAAACAACTTTAAATTTCGTTATCCATCTACTTTAAGTTGATATTCAGCTCAGCTCGCATTCTACACAATGCTATGACTTGTGACCTATATATATATATGAGTAATGATACTGCCAATTGGAGAACACTGATTTATTGACCTGACCAATGACACATAAAACCCGTAAGAGTAGTCTGAAGACTTTATCGGTCCTGATTTCTGCTTAGTCCTGCCTGTTAAGTCCAGAACACCAATCTCAGCATCCGCGATATGTATCATGTATTTCAAACATACTGGGTTTATATACAAACCAAATAAGATAGACAGATTAGTTCAGCAAAGAGTTCTCTTTTCGGCGAATTCATTTTCAAAACTGTACAATCGCAAATATATATATATATATATATATATATATATATATATATATATATATATATATATATACTTATTTTTACAGGGTGATAATAATACTGATAATAAACTTCTGTTATATACGGTGACAGTGAGGTTAAATGAACAAATATCATGCCGATCATATTTCATATCTGTTTCAACATTTTATTTTATCATGCTGAGCTATCCTTACCCAATGAATACTTCAGCCATTAACTATCAAATTAGTATTAAACTTTCCCTGTTTGAAATTTTTTTTAAAAATACCTTTGTTTATTTAAACTCACTGTCACCATGTATAACAGAAGTTTATTATCAGTATTATTATCACCCTGTAAAAATAAGTATATATATATATTTGCGATTGTACAGTTTTGAAAATGAATTCGCCGAAAAGAGAACTCTTCACTGAACTAATCTTTCTTATTTAATGTCTTAATGGGTGTATTCCGTTTATTAACAAACCAAATAGACCACATCTCAGCATAAAATAGAAATCTACATTTATACAAGATCTAGCCGAAAGTGGCTGTGAATGTAGGAGACTGTAGTTAATAGACTGGGTAGAACTCAATAAATGTAAATCGTATAATAATAGTCAAAATGGATCATATCATAACATTTAAGTCAAAAGTGATTATCTCAGCATGATTTAATATGAATAGGCAGTTTACTGTGAAAACAATGTCTTTTCTTTATTTATGTATAAGCTTTTACAACTTGATTAAAATATTCTGATTAGTTGATTGAGACGTAGATACCTACTGAATATTCAAATAATATAATAATCTAATTAGTAACACTTTTGAAAATAGCTATAAACAAAATATGTAGCAAAATTAATACACCATTTAAGATTAAACATACCAGTAATGAAGTACTCAACTCCATTTCGATTATCATTTGATGCTACATCAGCATATTTATACAAACTAATTGAACCAACTTCACGCCAACGAACCTAGCAAGTAGTAGAGTTGATTGTGAAAAAATAAATCATTATATTTATGGTCACTATAAACTTTAATAATTTGTTGAAATAGTATCTGTATAAAATTGAGCTGAATGTTGAAAAATCGCTGTCTGAATATTACTACAAAGGTTATAATTTGACTCTGGGAATAGGTAATACGAGTTTGAGATTTTACGTAGGAACCATTTATCCAATTATAAGCCAATAAGTAAATCAATAATAAAAATTAAACTACTTGACATTAGATTTATGAAACATGGATCGTTTATGACCTAAGTTTATTAGGTTTTGTTTGGATTTCGACCTAGTTGAATACGAGAAGTAGTCAAGATAATCAACTACTAATCTCTCACTAAACATGTAAATTACTCAAAAACGGATGTAGTTTCAAATATTTATATTAGACTTGAAAGACTGTTTTAAGTGTCTCAGTAATTAATTTACAGTATTTTCTTTATTGAAACTCCTACTAAAATATAACAGAGAAAATGTATGTCAGTTATACGTGTTATACGTATTAATTTTTCTGAAATGTCTGCTCAGTATATTATATGTTCATCTTCCTGCTCAGTAACACCAAGGTTGCTTTCATTCTTCTACGATATTGACTTCATCTTCATAAACTAGGTTCACAAGAAGGTTTATAGATGAGATAAGTTGTATGCATGACCTCTTGTTTGATCCCGCTTGATCCTAAAGTAATCCATTATTTAATCATCGAAATCATATATATATATATATATATATATATATATATATATATATATATGATGACGTTTTGTTATTTTAGTAAGTACAGATGAATGATAAGACTTACTTGCCATGATCCTTATGGAAGAGAAAGTCAAAAGATTTGTAGTCAAACTGTGAAGCTGATTTTCCTTCCAATGATAATAATCACTTGCAATAGTGCTGAGAATTCATACTGAATATCTCTAATTAGCATGTACTTAAAGGCAGTAATTAATTTAGTCTCTGGTTATTATCACTACATTGGACAGCGTTTCGGAAACACTGCTTTAGGACTATCTTAGAGTTCCAAATTTATATAATACTTTATCGAATGCCTTAATTTAAGATTTTCCAAGATCCAAAAGACAAACCTGAAAAGTTTGTGCCAATCCACCATCAAAACCTTGAGTCCAGGCAACATGCAAAGTCGATGAGGTTGCATTTAGAAGACGAAAATTTATCGGTACATCTGGGGTGGATGTTCCAGACAAATGAATTCCTAGTTGAGCTTCACCTTGTAAGTTGGCCGCCTAAAAGAGAAAATGTCACTAATAGTTTCTAAGACCATAATTAAATCGAGCTATTGTAATGTATGACAAAAAACTATTCGATTCGAGTCTTGTCCAATGATATATTTTGGGTACAAATTGTGAATTTTGAAAAGGATAATTGACGTTTTAAACAAAAGGCTTTATATTTTCTACCTCATCTAAAAACGCGGTCATACACCTCATTATTATAAACAATAAAATACAGTAAAGTACTTTTGTACTATACTGCATCTGATTAATTACTTTTTAACTGAAAATCAATAAGAGGATGCTTTTAGATTTCATAACTGACTGTAAGTATTTGGGCAGGCCAGTTTACTTTTATTGAGATGTTTCTAAAAGTTAGTTTTGGTTGAAAATGGTTTACGACACAGAATGGTATAATTTATTGTCCTACCATACAAGGAAAATATAGATATTCAATGACTTTTGGTTTCTAATGGCTCCTCAAAATGTAACTCTGTGATAAAGAGTTTTTTCACAACATTGTACTTCACAGTAATTAAAACAAGCAACGTAGTCCATAATTTTGTAGGTATGAACTTATTTTAGGAAAGAAACCATAGGTATATGTGTGGCAACTGAATGAAGGACATAGATACGTCGCGTTTTACAAATTATAGAAGCTCCAAGTAATTGATATTTTAGGATCATACATACGTATAAAATAGTTTGGGCTTAATAAAAATATGATTTCACCGCTTACTGGAGTTCCATTATGCATAAGATAAACACCATTGAATAGTATTTTGTTCAGTAGACAAAGTAACCACAACCCATATTACGAATATTTCTAGTCATATGAGAATATGTCCGCTGTCGTTTACATGTGCTGTCAACATGAATATTTGTGGGTTTTGTGAAATTCATTATTTTGAATAGCATATTCCCCTGTTAACGCAATTTTATTCGCCGTCAATTAATTGGTTGAAACCCATTTCTGAACATGTATTATTTTTTAAATCAAATGAGGATAGAAATATCTAAACTTTCGATGTTATTCGTTTTACGATATTACACGGTGATCATACAATGCGATCGGTGATAACAAACTCGTTCCTGATATAGTCGAATGTCACAGATTATACTTTCTCATTATAATTAGTTTTAAAGAAAGTTGACTGCCTAAAGTTATAAAATTCCTTTATTTGATTTTATACGAAGTAGTGAGAGTGTTGTTTTGACGACTTTCGGATTAAGACACTGTTCATTGTTTTTTACTTTACAGTGATTTATTAGTTGGCACCAGTTTAACGAAAAATCAATTTTAAAGTTTGTAGAAGTTGAGAGATGCGAAAGCGTGATAAATGCTACAGTAAATGTGTGCGAATAAGTCTAAAATAACACCATTTAAGTTAATTTTGTACATATACACATTTTTTAAAGAAAAAGTTATTGCTTGAAGCAACTGAGATATCTAGTTACCATCCAAATACACATGATTAGGGTAGATTATTTACATTGAGAATTTATTTATTTTTCTTCAAAAAAAGGATTAAACAATTAAACAAACCTGACAACTATAGGAACCAAAATCATATTTTCTAATATCATTAACAGCTAACTGAGCTTTATATAATCCAGGACGTATATGAGTTAAAAAATTTTCATATTTTTTCATTCCATTTTTACTATCTGTAGTTTTACTTTGAATTAACGCATTCATTGGGATTAATTTATTATCTTTGAGCCAAGCAATTTGTGGAGTTGGTTCTGTACGAATGTAACATGTTAACCATACTTTGGAACTTTGTTCACCAGCTGCTTTTGTATATCGAGGCAATTGAATTATTTTTGGAGGAACTGTAATGTTATGGAATTAAATAATGTGAAATTGAGAAAGAAAACAGATTTATGAAATTTTTCTACTAAAATATAAATATGGCTTAATAAAAGGAATCAAAATTACAATTCTTGATTTATCATTGAAACATAATGTCGTTTTACATTCACTTGGTGTTGTATATATATATATGGGCTAAAGTGTGCCTTGGTGTCGGTACAACCCACAAATACTAAAGTGCCTAAATTTTGATATCTTGTCAAATATTTAGAAAAGGGGTTCTTACTGTGAAAACATTTCTTGAACAACTAAAATCTTATAGTTTGTTGTAGATCTGAAGAGTGGAGTAGCATAACCTAATAGCTTTCAATATAGGGTTGCGGAGATTGTTGAGTTTTAATTGAGATCATGAATAAATCAATGTTAGACCACTATTGAAAGGCTGGAAGCATCGAACGTTCATTTCATCCTAATATTGGACATCCAGGTAGTGAGCACTTACGACCTCTCACACGGGACTTGAACCCAGGACCTACGGATATCGCGATGACCCTATTTTGATATTTATCATGTACTCATTAGTGACTAGCTTCGAAAAGTAATTCTCAGAGTCCCAGTAAGAAGCCGTGATCATGGCGCTACTTCAGAGCTAGGAGTGCCTTCAATATTGAATGAACCGATATCACCTTTAGGAGTCGAACTTGTACAGATTGTCTCAAAGTATATAACTTCAAGTCATGACTCACTATTAGTTACAATGAAAGTCAATCAGCAGAACTAAACCAATATTGAAAAGAATAATCAGTGGTCAGTTTTTGTTAACTCATTACTTTGTTAAGCCAGTTTTTGTGAAAATTCATGAAAAACTTACAATGATACAAAAGATTAAATGTCTTCTTCACTGGTTCACCTATTCCATTACTGACCTCGCAAACATATTTACCAACATCATCTTCTGTAAGTTGATAGATGTAAAATGTACTAGAAATTTGAAACTTATCTTGTTGAAAACACTGAGCAAGCATTTTTGGTTTGTCAACCTGAGACTGGAGAAAATCGAATAAATAAAAAGATTATGTTTACTGCTAGACATATACGATTATACTACACAAACAATCGATTAAATAGTTCATGCACCGAATTTAAATGAATTCGTAACTGTTGATGATTCAAACGTAGGGACTTTAAGAAATAATTTTCATTCCGTAATCATGAAAGAATGTTCAATATGTCTTCGAGCAAATGTTCTGAATTAATACTTTTATCAGAAAGGGTTTTTGTGGATATTATAGTAATTTCAATAGTTGAGATCATGAGTTAATTGAAGCTAGACCACCATTGCGTTCGCGCAAGAGACCGGAAGTCCTGGGTTCGGAGCTCGCGAGGCGGTATCGTGGATGCGCACTGCTAAGGAGTCCCACAATAGGACGAATTGGCCGTCCAGTGCTTCCAGATTTAAATCCATTAGTAATCAGGAAAATAACTTTTGATAAGTAAACGAAGTTTTGTTTAAAATTCAAAATGAACATTGAGAAAGATAGACTTGCTTTAATACATCAGATTTTGAACTACAATGATATTTGCTCTTATTTGAAGTTACTTTATATCATGAATCATCATTAAGTGAAGAACTATTGGAAATAAAGTATTAACAGATAGCCTATTAGTAATAGTCTTGGATCATTACTTAACAGTGTCCACTAACGACCTAAAAATTGGTTTTAGTACACTAATTCAGAATTCAGTTGCCCATATTACTAATTTTCGTGTTAGAACTACTGACATTATGTGTAGCAATTTAAGAAAGGGGTAATGGGAATATGCAAATCAATGGATTATAATCGAATATTTTAACTGTAAATTCATTGCGTTAAATATTAACAGACAGTTTGTCATTATATTTATTTCATTATAAATGTAGATAGTAATTAATGCTGAATGTTCAAAACATTTTATTTATTAGATAAGGCAACAAGCAGAAAATTTGATGTTTGTTTAGTAAGCTAATTCACTCCAAATTTATATCAACATTTATTGTTATTATAAGAAACTTAATTTTAACTTCAAATGACTTTCACTATTAAGTTGTAAGTAGTTTGAATAGTATTAGTACATCTTTTACATCATTTTATATTAGTCAGTGTTTTGTATTTGTAAATACACTTAAGTTGTACTTAATCACATCCTATGTCGTCCACAAATCCAGAATTAAGTATTCCTCCCTCGTGTTGGCAATAATCTGCTGAATAGTGTTTAGGCTCAAACTGCAGAAGGAATTGTTATTATGTCTATAAAGACCAGATCTGCGTTTTCAGAAAAAGCATGTTTAGCTTTCTATCTTACCTTCTCAGACCCAAGGTCCTATAGACCATTAATAATTCAAATTATGAAATGACTCGATTATACTAATGACTATACCAATCCACTACGTCTTCAAACCATAATTTATCTTATTTAGCTATTATTATAAGTTTTCCTGAATAGTTTATGTGGTGTTCATTCCATATTTTCTATCTTTCAATGTTTTATAATATGTATTTAAACAACAGGTGTTATTAGAAGTTTACCCATTGTCTCGCTTAACTTAAAACCTAATTACTATTCTGTCAACCTGACTTACAAACCGCTTTAAGTATGCATTACATGGATGTTATTTCAACGTCTGTTTGAAAACGATAGCAAAGTAAGTTACTTGATTACTAGCAATCCTAAGTTGACGTCCTGTATCCTGAAAGAAGTATCTATATTAGACTTGAATATTCTTTTTCATCATTAATTTTTTCAAACATGTTTGGTTCTGGTTTAATACTTAACTAATATTAGCCATCTTAATACATTAGACAATTTTATCTAGTCTTTAGTAATGATAGATTTTATCTATCAAGTTATAATTTGACCATTAGTCCAAGTGACCAGATATTACTAAGTAATAATGTCTCTGATTGTGAAGCTGGATAACTCAAGTTTGAATTCCAGGAGGTGCATCGGTGACACTATGATTACAGATAATGAATAGCAAATACAATGAAATTTAAGTCAAAAAGTTTCATGTTGACCACTTTCGCCTGTCTAACATTTAATTATTCTAAGTAAATTTGCTTAAAGTACTCTTGACAACAATGCACTTTTATGAACTATTATTTATTTCTTCATTAGATTCTCTATCAATCTCAATAAAATACTCAGTTCATGTTTATTTATTTAGTTTCTTCTTTAAAACAATCGAAGAGATATAACTATCAAGTGTTCACTTTATTACGACATACAATAACTCAAAAACATACCCCACAATCTTAATAATTATACAGACAGTTTTCGGACATTTTAGTTATTTATAAATAAAAAAAAACCGAAATGAAAATTTTCTGCTTAGAAACATCCGCTCAACAAAAATGAAAAAAAAAATGAAGAAATAACATTTGACTAAGTTTATTCAATTTTTTTTCTAAAAAAAATCACTACTTTAGACTGTGATTGAGTATGTAGTAGTAGTAGTAGTAGTAGTAGTAGTAGTAGTAGTAGTAGTAGTAGTAGTAGTAGTAGTAGTGGTAGTAATAGTAGTAGTAGTGGTAGTAGTATTATTATTATTAGGAGGAGGAGGAGGAGGAGGAAATTTGTTCAGAAAAGAAGTTTTTTATTGTCAAATAGAATTTTATTTAATATAAATTGACATATATTTTAAAATGATAAAAAGATTAAATAAACAAATCATGATATTTATTTAATGGAAACAATGTTAACTAGAAAATTAATGTTATAATCACTTGACTGAGAATTTACTTACACTTCAATGAAATTAGTGTAGTTTTAGTTGATAATCAAGTTAAACTAATTTTTTAAAATAATTATCAGTATAGGATTGTGAAGATTGTTGTCATGAATGGATCAATGTTAGACCACCATTGAAAAAGGCTGGAAACACTGGATGGCCAATTCGTACTAGTATGGGACTAAAAATCAGTGTACGTTTACGAACCCCCCACGCGGGACTCGAGCCTAAGACCTTCGTTATCATGCACAAGCGCTTGACCTCTAGACCACTGGGCTGGTATCCAACGGATGTTAATACTTAACTTCCAGAAATCTACGATATTGTGAAACCTTCCACCATTATCTTCAGTGAGTAACTACCTCACAACAGACATGGCTGAACTCCACTGATCATGTCTTCTCATTAGAACTCTAGGAAATCCGTTTTGAGGCTAATCACTGTTTCTAACACGGATCCACTCATGATATCAATCTAAACTCAACAATCTCCACGACCTTATACTGATAATTATCATATACTTACTAGTGATTAGCTTCTAGATGGATTTTCTGGAGTTCTAGTGAGAATTAGTGACTAGTGGAGTTCAACCGTGTTTCGTTGGTAACAATTACACTTTAATATTGAAAATATATCTCGTCTCATTCTATAGAATGTTATGAATAATGTTAAGTGTGTGTTTATGAAAAAAAAGGAAATATTTTTCATAAAATCGAGCAAAAAATTGGAAAGTAAATTAACATTTAAACACTAGTTATTTAAAATGAAGTTATATTGGATAATTTTTTAAATATTAAATCAAGTAAATTCACTGAAACTTATTCCATATGGAATTACACCATTTTAGAGTTGTATAAATAACTTTTTATTTGTGAAATTAACTTTGATTGATGTTAAGTTACGATTAGGCGGTAGATAATAAATAATTATTATTACTGTAGGAGTTTGTGGAGATTGAGTCTTCATAAATTACATAAAACATTGATTCTAAGGGAATGATCAGTGGAAACCAGAAACTAATGGATATTTAATTCATTCTAATGTGTGACTTCTTAGCAGTGTGCATCCACTGAAGACTAGGCAATAGACTTTTAGTATCACTACGAGCTTCTAATCTTTAGTTCAATAAGCCGGAATTCAATGATGAATATGTCTAATTCCAAATAATCTGCGATATTATACAACCATTTGCTATTACATTTGGTAGATTAGAATGTCACACACGACGAGGTTAAACCGCACTGGTCACGGTTTTTCACTGGAACTCCTGGATTTACATCTCACAGTCACGCACTGCTGAAGAGTTCCATGATAGGACGAGACATATATTCAGAGGTCTTAAATGCATTAACAAATGTAAATTAGTATCACTGGTCAGTGAATCTGTTGGTTGATTTTAAGTGCAGAGTAATCAAATTAGTATATTGTAGCTATTAAAATGAGAAATATCAAACAGAGCAGCAGTATGCTTATTAGGACTAACCCATACTTTAAAAACTGTATAACTCTAATCCATTTGACGAATTTACCAACATTCTTTAATTAGTGGACGATTAACACAAAAAAAACGAAAAAAGTTACATACTTGATTACAATAAATTGGTTCACTCAGTTGTAATGCCCCCTCATCTACTTCTTCTGTCCAGCCCTTGGGTGGAAAGTAACGATACCATTTAAATGTTCTATCAGGTATAGCCGGATTCGCATCAGCTTTACAATCTAAAGCAGCATAGTCTTTAGTCGTTTGTGTTATGTTCTCTTCAAGTTTACCAACAATACTTGCTGGATCTAGTTTTAATTATTTTAAGAGAAAAGAATGTGAAGAGAAAATAGAAAATTTGTGTCTAAAACAAGTTATAACTAAAATGATGTCAAAAATATAAACTCTATTAATTGGGAATAATATTCTCAGAGTTATAAGAGATTTTAATAGATTGAAACTTAAAAATTGGTTAGATGTCATTTCAAACACCTCCATGATTCATTCTACGTGATAGTGCAAGCGACTCAGATATAAAGACTGTTGATGTGAAGATATATACAGGACATTTTGTTTTTGTTATTATTGATGTTGATTTCTCCGAGATAAATGGGTTAATTGTGGAGCTTTCATTGTCATTATTGACATGTTTATGTAGAAGTACATGAGATGTGAATGATACGTTTAAAATGTCTGATTAAGATATGAGAACTCTTCAGGCAACAACGTTATACAAGACAGTTTGAATTTAGATATAGTTTGCTACAATCAATAAAATATATGGAGATGTCGATTATTTAGATATAGTCGTTTAAACGTTTCTCGCAGCCATAAAAACTATGAAACATTTTGCTGAAACTCAGGTAAATTCCTTACCATGCTCTTTCTATAATAATGGATTTCGGAACTCATTGTACAGAATAATATTAAAAGCTTTTATTCAAAGACTGAACTCTATGTGTTCATGTGATTTTTCCAATCACAGCCGTTTATTCACTAGTGGTAATACTCCGCCTGGAGTCCCTCCGGGGGCTAATGCCGATCCCAAGCCCGGATAAAGGAGGAGGGTTGGGCATGGGGTTAGCGTCCCCATCCCGTAGAAAACTAACTCGCTAAAAAAACGCTAACCAGAAAAAATTATTCAAATCTTTTAAACTCTGCCCTGGGAGTCAGAAGGTCTTCATTTAGAAGAATTATGACGCCTCTTGATGAAAGCCGAATTCCTTCGGAAGTCACGAGGCCGATGCCCCTTCTGACAACCAGAGCGACCATTTATTTAGGTACATGGAATGTTCGTACAATGTGGGACACCGGGAGAGCCTTCCAAATTGCTGCAGAAATGAGAAGATACAACCTAGAGGTGCTTGGGATCAGTGAAACACATTGGACGCAAGTTGGACAACAACGACTAACTTCAGGAGAGCTGTTATACTCCGGCCATGAAGAAGAAAATGCCCCACATACACAAGGAGTTGTATTGATGCTGTCCAAACAAGCACAAAATGCACTTATAGGATGGGAATCTCATGGACCAAGGATCATCAAAGCCTCCTTCAAAACAAAGAAAGAGGGCATTTCAATGAACATCATCCAATGCTATGCGCCTACCAACGACTACAATAAAGACGCTAAAGATCAATTCTACAATAGGCTGCAGTCAATCGTCGAGAAGTGCCCAACAAAGGACCTGACCATTCTGATGGGAGATTTAAATGCCAACGTTGGAACGGACAACACCGGATATGAAGACATCATGGGACGACACGGACTGGGAGAAAGGAACGAAAATGGTGAGAGATTCGCAAACCTATGTGTCTTCAATAAGGTGGTCATAGGCGGCACCATATTCCCACATAAACGCATACACAAAACCACATGGACTTCACCGGATCACTCTACACAAAACCAAATCGACCATATTTGCATCAACAAAACGTTCAGGAGGACTATAGAGGACGTGAGAACCAAGAGAGGAGCTGATATAGCATCAGATCATCACTTACTGGTCTCCAAGATGAAATTGAAACTCAAGAAGCACTGGACAACGGGGCAGACAGTATCACAAAAGTTCAATACGGCCTTTCTCCAGGATACTAACAAACTCAACAAATTCAAGATAGTCCTCAGCAACAAGTTCCAGGCCTTTCATGATCTACTCAATGGAGAAGGAACTACTGTGGAGAGCAACTGGAACGGGATCAAAGAGGCAATCACTTCAACATGTCATGAGGTCCTGGGTCACAAGAAGCACCATCACAAGGAATGGATCACTGTTGATACACTGGATAAGATTCAAGAAAGGAGGAACAAGAAGGCAGCGATCAATACCAGCCGAACAAAAGCAGAAAAAGCTATGGCACAAGCTGAATACACGGAAATAAACAAACAAGTGAAGAGGAGCATCAGAACCGACAAACGTAAATATGTGGAAGATTTAGCAACGACGGCGGAAAAGGCTGCAAGAGAAAGAAACATGAGACAACTGTATAACATAACAAAGAAACTCTCTGGAAATCGCCGCTAACCAGAACGACCAGTGAAAAGCAAGGAAGGCGAGGTAATCACCAACATTGAAGAACAACGAAACAGGTGGGTAGAACACTTCAAAGAACTCCTGAATCGACCAGCCACACTGAACACACCCAACATCGAAGCAGCACCCACGGACCTCCCAATCGATGTTGGCCCACCAACAATTTAAGAGATAAGCATGGCAATCAGACAAATCAAAAGTGACAAAGAAGCAGGACCAGATAACATTCCAGCAGAGGCACTAAAAGCAGACGTAGCGGCAGCTGCAAGGATACTCCACATTCTCTTCAATAAGATTTGGGATGAGGAACAAGTGCCAACAGACTGGAAAGAAGGACTCCTGATCAAAATACCGAAGAAAGGCGATCTCAGCAAGTGTGATAACTACAGGGGCATCACTCTTCTCTCTATACCGGGAAAAGTCTTCAACAGGGTATTGTTAAACAGGATGAAGGACTGCGTAGACGCCCAACTTCGAGACCAACAGGCAGGATTCCGTAAGGATAGATCGTGTACAGACCAAATCGCAACTCTACGGATCATTGTGGTACAATCAATTGAATGGAATTCATCACTCTACATCAACTTCATTGACTACGAAAAGGCATTTGATAGCGTGGACAGAACAACACTATGGAAACTTCTTCGACACTACGGCGTGCCTCAGAAGATAGTCAATATCATACAGAACTCATATGATGGATTACACTGCATGGAGGACAGTTGACAAAAACGTTCAAAGTGAAGACCGGTGTTAGGCAAGATTGCTTACTTTCACCCTTTCTCTTTCTCCTGGTGATCGACTGGATCATGAAGACGTCAACATGTGAAGGGAAGCGCGGGATACAATGAACATCTAAGATGCAGTTGGATGATCTAGACTTCGCAGACGATCTGGCCCTTCTATCCTAAACGCAACAACAGATGCAGGAGAAGACGAACAGTGTGGCAGCAGCCTCAGCAGCAATAGGTCTCAGTATACACAAAGGGAAAAGCAGGATTCTCCGATACAACACAGAATGCACCAATCCAATCACAATTGACGGAGAAGATTTGGAAGATGTAAAAACCTTTACGTATTTGGGCAGCATCATTGATGAACAGGGTGAATCTGATGCAGATGTGAAGGCGCGGATCGGCAAAGCAAGAGCAGCATATTTACGACTGAGGAACATATGGAACTCAAAGCAACTGTCAACCAAAACCAAGGTCAGGATTTTCAATACAAATGTCAAGACAGTTCTACTGTATGGGGCAGAAACCTGGAGAACTACAAAAGCCATCATCCAGAAAATACAGGTGTTTATTAACAGTTGTCTACGCAGAATACTTCAGATCCATTGGCCGGACACTATTAGCAACAACGTACTATGGGAGAGAACAAACCAGATCCCAGTGGAGGAAGAAATCAGGAAGAAGCGCTGGAAGTGGATAGGACACACATTGAGGAAATCACCCAACTGCGTCACAAGACAAGCTCTCACATGGAATCCTCAAGGCCAAAAGAAAAAAGGATAAGCAAAGAATACATTACGCCGAGAAATGGAGATAGACATGAGAAAAATGAACAAGAATTGGATGGAACTAGAAAAGAAGGCGGAGGGCAGAGTGGGTTGGAGAATGCTGGTCAGCGGCCTATGCTCCATTGGGAGTAACAGGCGTAAGTAAGTAAGTAAGTAAGGTAATACTCCACAGTAGTAATAAACAAGTGTATCCAATCTTTAACTTTAGTTAAAAAATTAAATGACATTCTGTGCGTATGGTCATTTATAGCAATAAGAAAAATCTTTTAATTTTAATGAAACTAACAACTCACATGTAACATTAAGAAAAAATGTATTTCGTGATTCATGTTGTGAATTAGAAACTACCACTGTATAATTGCCCATATTTTCTCGATTAATTTTATGTAATGAAAGTAGTTCTCCAACAGAACCAGCTGCAAAAACACCTTGCCATGTATCAGTTTCTTTAGGTTCAAATGGAAGTAATTGATCATTACGAAACCATGAAACAGATGTAACTGGAGGATTTGCATATAATCCAAAGTCTAGATGAGTTGTTTCACCTGAAAAAGAAAACACAATTTTCAAATAATTTATCAACAATAACTGATTATTTATATTGTGAGATTTAGATCATTATTATAACCCAAACATGTAATTTATCAATATTTTAATGTTGCCAGTTATACTGTGATATAAAGCAATCGTTACGATTGTCAATTATAATTCACTTTGTAAACAATTTTGCTGTTTCAATTTGTATGATATGAAAATTAAACTATTATTATTAAGTTCAATGGTTGAGGTCATGAGTCAATTGAAGCTAGACCACCATGGAAAACCTGGAGGCACTGGATGGCCATTTCATCTCATTATAGAACTCCTCTCTTCTCTTTATTGTTTAATTTTTCATGAATTGTTAATTTTGATCTTTGACATTTGATAAGATCCAATAAATTTTGTGATAAGCAATTGAGCATTGAGTTATTTCATTATGATAAAAGTAACGAGATTATGTAACTTGAAGTTATCTTGACTATTATCAGTTATCTATATATTTTTAATCTAGGAATTTAACCATGCAAGTTATAGAATTCTACTGGAGATCTGGGAAATGTATTGCCCAGTAAGTTCATTGCTACACAAACAGGTGGTTTAGATAAATTAGGTTGTTTGACAAACATTCTTTTTAGATGTTGAATTAAGTATGAATCATTGGTGAATCTTTGGTAATATTAAACGTTTTTTATTCATATTGGCAGCTGACAAGGGAAAATTGAGATCAGTTATTTACATTAACTTCTGCAATACAATTAATATACCCGTTTCTACAATTTTGAAAGTGTGTTAAACACTAAAACAATAAATTAAAGAACATCAGAATTATGTTTCATGATAAAACTGAAAACTATAGTCTAAATGTTATTTAATCAAATGAAGTGAATAAACTAAATAACAGAAAGAAAATAGTTTGTTAAAAATAGATAAACTCGAAGTGATATTTCAATTTTCATAGTAGTGAAAAGTTTATAACTTGTCTAAGACAATCGTATATTCCACTGGTTAAAATCATGAGTCAGTTGAAGCTAGACCAGGCTTTCCATGTTGGTCTAGCTTCAATTGACTCATGATTTCAACCAGTGAAATTTCTAAAAAGTCTCCACAAAACCCATTCTGATAATCGTATATTCATTGAGATTTGTCTGTTGTTTTTACCCAGTAATCCTCTTTCCTAATCGAAATTCTATATTTCTATTCTTATAATACTTCAGTTTCAAGCTGGACCTATTTTAACACATTCTGTGTTATATCTTATGTTAACTTAAAACCATAATCTTATCTATGTAATTTTAATCCAATTGTATATGTAGTAAATTGAAGCAAGTCAAAACTTGTCACGTCAATCTAACTGTTAAGAGCATTCAGTAGTAGCTGTATTATTGATAAATAAGAGTTTGTTTACCTGTCATTTTCATTGTTTTACGAATTAGACTACAGGAAGTCCACTTCCGTCTATATGCTGAGATTTTAGACAGTATTGTAATGTTATTCATAATACTAAAACAAGGTTTGTTATACAAGTATTACGTCTAGGTGAAATGTTATTTTCGGAAAAAAAAGCTAAATGTTATATTATTCTAACCATTCTATCCAAATTTCTTTACTACAAGTCATTAATAATAGATGCTTTTCAGCTTTATTTAATTATTTTCTTATTGTAATTTAACTTCACTATCTGGAATTTAATCCTCTCGATGAAATATAGTCTTCGGATATTTTGTACCATGTTTTGACTTTTCAATTTAATTAGAATGACTTCAATATGATACTAGATTTCTGTGTCAGATAACTGCTAGTCACCTATATCTTAGACCACATCAAAAGTTTTACTATTCTGTCTAGATAGTCTCTTGAATGGTGACTAAAAGAACATATTGTAATCATTGTTTGTTTCATACTTATGAAAAATCACAAAACTCAAGTTAATATCTTGTTTATACCAGGTTTCTACTATTTGAATGTATTATTGGTTGACTGTTTTTATAATCAATTGATATATCAAGTATATATTGTAGAATATATTCTTATGCCTGATTTTTCCCTGAGAATCAAGTGCTGTATCATCTTATTAATGAATGTTTTCCAAAAAGAATAAGAATAGTGAACGAATCCTCAATTCACTTCATATAATGGATGGAATTCAAAAACTTATATGGTCTAGCTAAACATAAAACGAACGATATGTAGATTTGTAGAGAATGTTTTATTTTTACAATTGAATTGATGAGTCGATTTAAGCTAGACCACAATTGAAAACGTGGAAGCACTGGATGGTCGTTTCATCTTAGTATATATACTTGGTTTTCAATGGTGGTCTAGCTTAAGTTGACTAGTGAATTCAATTGTGAAAATAAAACAATCAAACAGAAATTTCGCCATCGTAATAAGTGTTTGTTATATAAAGCAACAAAATGTTTATGAAGTTTGAGATCAGTGGATTATTATTCACACCTATGAAATGTTAAAAACTGTAAACAATTAGTGAAGTCGATAAAATGTGTTACATCGTTGAATGTAAATATACTGAAAATTTATGGTTACAAAGTTCACATTTTCCATTGGATCACATAGTTTAGGTTAAATAACGTGAAATATTAGTTACAATATGCTGTATGTGAGCTTTATTGACGTCCAGATGTCAATTCCGTATATTAAGGATAGTTTACTCCAATAGAGACCTGAAGATAGAAAACTTGTTTCAGTGAAGTTTAATCATTGGATAAACATTGGTGTGGAGTAATAAACGAGAATCAAAGGACTATCTAGAATAATTTACATTTTAATGATTCTCTGATGTTAATCTCTAGTAAAAATCACATTCAAATCAACCAGTTTACAACAAACCACTTAAATATTTAACTCTATAGATTAGTATTAAGGAACACAACGCTGATAAAAGTGTTCAAAATCAAACCAATGATAGTTCGCACGCTTCACTAAGTTTATACTCAATAGCATATGGTACTTTTCAAATGCTACATTTGCAGACGACTAGATTTATCACTCGCTAAACTACCACCATATATGAGAGAGTTAATAATGTTTCGGCTATGTGACTAATAATTCATCCATTCTTTGTGTAGCATGATATAAGTTTCAAATTCTGAAAAAAAATTCTTTTCCTTATGAATCTAAACAACAGTTACAGATGAAAGAAGGCAATTACAAAGTCAAAGCATCACGCATCTTTCAACTATTCAACATTAAAATCTCTTTCATCAGTATTCATTTATACTAATACATAATCTAAAAGTGAACAAATAAATATAATAAGTTGGAATGATTCATCTAATATCCAATATGGTAAGTAAATAATCATTTATTTTTTTAGAAAGAAATATCATTTTATTAATTTTAATTCTTAACTCCACCTGGAGTCCCTCTGTGGGCTACTGACGGTCCCAAGCCCGGATAAAGGAGGAGGGTTGGACATGAGGTTAGCGACCCCATCCCGTAGAAAACTAACTCGCTAAAAAAACGCTAACCAAAAATTATTTAAACCTAAGTAAACTTAATTTTTATCTAAGTGAATTTATTGTTCATGTATTTAAAAAACCATCTTCTTATTTACATGTAACATTAAGAAACACTAAATACAATCCTTAAGAAGACAATTTATATGATTATTACTATTATTATTATTATTATTATTAGAGTAAAGGCCAATGAGTTGCAAGCGAAAAATAAAAAAAGGACAAAAAATCGACTTGTAGTTATAGTTACATAAATAATTTTGTTACCCCATTTAAACTGTGAAAAGTATTTATTTACTTTTATTTTAACAAAAAAATAAACAACAAACAATTAATACAATGGAGAAGGAAATTTCATTGTCTAATTGATTAAGTTAAATTTTATAAAATATAGAAAAGAATCATTCATGTTTATGTTCTATTTATTTCTTTTTTAAGGAAAACTTCAGTTGAAATAAGCCAAAATCAATAAATCAGGACTTAATAGATTAACATATATATATTCTACATTGTGTCATAATGATTGATTGTTTATCTAAGCGAACATATGAATTATTCGTAATACTAGTATTGACTATTAAATAATTATAATAACTGAGATCATGAGTCAATTGAAGCTAGACCACCATGTAAAATCTGGAAGCATTGGACGACTGTTTCGTCCTATTGTAGGACTCCTCAGCTGTGCGCATCCACAATTCCAACCCAGAACCTATCAGTCTAGAAATCAACCGTTCTTAAGTGAGGTTTTTCAGGTGATCTAGCTTCGAGTGATTCATAAATTTGACTAACAAAATTAAAAATAATTAAGTAAATACTTGAGAATTTTGTAAATAAACAAATGTTTAATGCATTAGTTATAAAATGATTGATTTTTCTTTTACAATCAATTGTACAAGTTTCAGAGGAATTTTAAAACCTAAATTGTTTTTATTTTCTCAAGAAAATATGTTTCCAACTAAGTTATTCATAGGATCTTTTTTTTGTTTCTGGTGGAATTACTTCATTTGTTCATTGATGATGATATACATGCACATAATGTATAGTATGTTTAATGTTTTATGTAAATTGTAAACTAACATGGAGATAATTTTACAAATTAAGGAAGTTCTAAATAAAATGCAGCAAAGAAATCAAATTGAATTCATTAACTATAGGTTAGAAACAGGAAATCATAAACTAGAAGTGCATATTTTAAATAAGATGAGTAAAATTTCATTTATTAGGTGATGGGGGTGATTTAAGAAAACATTTTTATTAAAGCCTAGAAACTATTGATCAATATCTTGTGAATGGTTTGAAATGACTGGAAATGTATATGACCAGAGAAAAAAATGTTAATGAAAGTTTTATAGAAACTTACATTCTTTATAATTGTTATATAATTTTCAAACTATTTTCAGAGATGCTTTTATGAATGTTACAATGAATATCAAGAAAGGAAGCAACAATCATTTGTTGTTATTTAATTTTATATGATTTTTGGATTCATGTAAGATTATCATGGGAATTACCACCGTAGTGATCACGATAATATGACAGAGTGAACAGAGAAAACATCAACTCTGAGATGCAAGTACACCTAGTTGATGACGCAAAAAGTGTGTTCTGGATTCCATTGATAATCACCATCTGTCTTTGCTTAGATTAGTAATGTTCGAATGGTTCAAGCTACAGTAATTACATGTCTACGAAAAGTATCTCTCCTATTCTACTACTTTACCATTATCTTAAGATCCCCTACAATTTAATCAGAAGTTCATGCTATATTCTTAATTTTTATCATTCGATCAATCAAATCAACAATTACCCTTTATATTTATTTTATAAATTACTCATTACTATTACTTCTAAAACTATTAAGCAACTTATCATTCAATACTGGGAAATGTTTAATAGTTTCTAATAGTTTCTTCATTTTATTTAAGAATACCATCATTATTAATCATCGTTATTATTACTTATGATACATTAAATGAATTACATCATTGAAGTAAATCTTAAGTAAATTAATTTTCTTCAATATGTCAGTGTTAAAATTGACTTTAGCAACAAACTATTTTAAAAGATAAGAAGAACGTGAATAATCAATACAAGTCTCTTTCACTATTCAATCGGATTACTTTCTAGAAAAATAAACCAATGTCCAAGTAAATGATTTTTCTTAGAGATAGATTTATTTTACTTGAAAAGCTTGATTAGAATACTATTTCTATGTTACATAGAGTGTTACATAATTTTAAAGGAATATTTATGTACTACAGTTGTATATGCATTTGCATTTATCATTATCAATAATCACTAGTATTAGTTATCTTATATTAGCTCATTTTAGAAATTTATACAATAATAAAGGTCTAAAATGGATTTTTCTTCCTAATAATGTTCAGTGTGACAACAAAAACATATGTCAGAAACAAGTTTTTGAATTCATCACCATGACAACCAAGTAAAGTTAGAGACATAACCTGTCGGTATATTACGAATTGATTAAAGATTTCCATGTAAACCATTGGATGATGGTTCAGAGATCTCTAGATTAAGCTCTAACAGGAAGACTGGAAAGTTCAAGATTCGGACTTGTATAGAGTAGTGTTTGTGCACTGATGAGTACTATACTAGAACGAAACAACGGTCCAAATATTCTTGGATTTGGCTGGTTGTTTGAGTAAGTTTATTCTATGATGTAAACCAAAAATTTTGAAGCTCTTTACATATCCTCCCCATTAAGATATGATATTTTGATGTTCGGTTATTAGAAATTGTAGAGTGATATTGTTTTAGTTTGTCTAATTAATCACAATACTATTTAATGAATGATCCAAAACTGTGCAGTTTGGAAATGTTTTACGAGTTCAGTCGAATCATCACTAAAATACATACATCCATTTACGGATCATTGTATGGAAATCAGCTGAAGTCATAGCTTCGTTCAGTTATTTTAAATGATGCAACAAAATAATACAAGTTCCTTTGTCACGAAGCTATTTATGATAAAGACACTAGGATTGAATAAAAAATGTTATTTATCCATTTATATAAAATATTTAGTGTAATGGTTCCTTGGCCCAGCCTTAACCATAATAAATTCTTAATTGTATACTGAATGTTATGATATTAATATCACTAGTAATAATCACGACAAACGGAATGTCATGTTTCATAACATTATTTAACTCTGTTTGTAGTAGCACATCACTATATAGTGGATCTTCCTCAACTTTTTCTTACAGAAAACTCAAACTGATAACTCAAATTGTAATTATTTATGAAGTAATCGCAGTGAAATTCATTATTCTTAATCTTCAGTACTAATCAATTTCATATTTATATTTTAATGTACTGTCTTTAGTAATGGAATATTTAGATAGTTCTGATCACTGACTGACTTCAGCAAGACAACTATTAAAAATTAGGAAACTGAGCAGATGCTTGATCTTAGCATGATACTGTAAGCAGTACAAATCCTCTTACTTCTAGTAACTGAACTCGGAAGGTTCAGATCTCATGTTCAACATTTACAATTCAGACTACTGAGTCAAAATACTGTCTTCAACCTTTTTGATATTAGTTATTCTCCAATGGTGAGAGACCATAGTCCATTGTCATTTGTGATATTTCTTTCACTGGCAACAAGGTTGAACATTTTAAGTCATTAGAAATTCATTAATTGTGTTTGAAAGTTAGTGAGAAGTAAACCTGTAATCATTGTTAATAGGGAATATAGTGTTTGTTTTGGCAAAAATAATATTCACAAATTATAGAGTCCGATGACTTAAATGTTCTTTATTTTCCAAACACAATAATTATGTTGAGCTATAAAAATGAAAACATTACGGTTATCTTGAAATTCATATAAGTAAATAATTGATAACACTTGGTAATGCCGCAATATATGACTTATCCATAGATTAATCTGTAATTTAGTATTCCCATATTAAGAAAAGAGAATTTTGGAGCAGATGTAATAACAAATTCATTTTAGTTCTCGATATTGTATATGTAAATTTTGCAGATTACATCAAAATACTTTTATATGGATAATAAACGCTTCACATTGAAATAATCAATGAGATTATAATTTATGGACGAACCAATCAGATACAAGATAATAGGTCTCGGATTTTGGCACGACATTCACTCATCCATTTGGCTAGATAGAGTTTTGGCACTATAACTGATATCAGTTCATGATGAAAACCCTAGATCTAATTCCTTACCTTAAACATGAACTACAAATCATTATTGTAATACCTAACACTGGTTTATGACCCTCATTCGGTCCTGGTTATTAAATGGACAGTCTCAACATTTAGATGGTGGTTGGAGCTAGTCAACAGGAAACCCTGGACCCGGGTTTCGTGCTACTTGGCACTTGTCAGAAAGTTGTACCTGTAATCTTGAGGGAAATGGTGCTCCCTGGCGGATTCAATCTCGTGTCACCCAGCTTCACAGTCAGAGACGTTACCACTGAGCTATCCGAGCCGCGACTGACATCTAATCACAATTGATTGATCACTGGGTGGTGATCAATGTCATGCTTGTCTAGTCCTTATTCGTGCTGGGTAACACGAGATCGAATCCGCCAGGGAGCACCAGTTCCCTCAAGATTACAGATACAACTTTCTGACGAGTGCCAAGTAGCACGAAACCCGGGTCCAGGGTTTCCTGTTGACTACCTCCAACCACCATCTTAATCCCAATTCATAGTGCCCGCAGTGTCGAGTCACCTAGACTGGTGGCCACATTGCAACATGATCGATAGCATTCGATCTGCACTAATAAGGACTAGACAAGCATGACATTGATCACCACCCAGTAAACAATCAATTGGGATAGTTTCAAGGTCATTCTAACGCCGCTCAAAGGTCGTCCATAAATTATAGTCTCACCAAATTATTATATTTAAAAGGAAGTTATATGTGAAGATAAATGTTCCATAATCAAAACAAGTGGATAAAATAAGTTTTGTCAACCCAATGATATATGATTGAATCAAATTAGAATTAGACACTGGAGTCCGTCGCATATGACTTCTTATAAAATTATCACTTACCTTCTCGTATTACTCGGTGATCACCTACTTGAAGCCCATAGAATTGTGGTGCAAATGTGATATTTAATTGAAGTCTATCATGCCAGATAGGTGGACCATAAACTGGATTCTCCGCTTGGCATTCAATAAAGTCCATATGATATCTCCAAGTTGGACGTAACCATAAATGACTTCTGGCTAATAAACCGCCGGATGCTCCAGGAATAGGTGTTTCATCGGAACCTAGTTCGAAAGACAATCATTGGATTTCTATTATCTGAGAACTATAAATCATAAATGAAACTTTATTTTTAGTTCGGTTGATATTATTTACAACACAGAATATCCAAATCGTCTACAAACAATCACAGAATATGTGAATCCTATTACATATAACATCTTTAAAATCATATCATACTATTAAATGGTGGACTACACAACAAAAATCACCAGACAATGTCTATAAACACAATGGTCCAGTATGTATAAATCGTGCTCAGATGACGTTTTCAGAACGTCAACGTATTTAACCAAGTTATGAAGTTGTAGTAACTAGAAATTCATTAAAAAATACGAGTTCCAAGTATAAAAGAATATAAACATTTAGCTTCCAAAATTGTATTTTAAGACTTAGACAGCTGTATACATTTTCGGTTAATTATACTTGCGTAACTAAAAGGATAATTCTAAATTCTGATCACTAGTAAAGGCCTATTTTTTGAATTGTTCTCTTATTATCTGATTTATTAACTTTTCTGCGCCAAACATATACAAGAAGCGGAAATTGCAAATTAATGGATTTGACCATTATAATCTCCTCATTGTTTCGATAATGATATTAGAAGACGAAGATTATCAGATAATCTGATAATCTTCGTCTTCTAATATCATTATCGAAATTTATCAAAGGGACTAATTGTTTTAAACTCCTCATTGTTATTAAGTTTTCCAAAATCATCTTCAAACTGTGTTCACAGGATATAATTTAAGACCACATAGTGTATTTAGGAACAAACAATGGGGAAATGAATAATTGTTTTCGATGACTTCTTTATCGGACTCTGTAGTTATAAGTCCATAATTATTATATTACGATGGGTAGAATAAGTCATGTAAACGAATTAGACACTATTGTCTGGGTGTTAAAATAGAGCACCCTGGCTTCCGTTAAATCTTCATCAAGTCGAAACTGTCTTATTTGTTATTGAAACACATTATTTTCTTTAGAAAGTTGTGATATAATCTTGTAGATGACCTATCTACTCTTTTTGTTCACTTGTATGAACTAAAGCAAATACGGTTGAAGCGTTATTGTCTTGTAACGCATAATTAGTAAAGTGGAATCTATGTTTCCATACATTAAAGATGAGTGCGAAATCTTTTAGAAATTTAGCAAGTTTCATAATAAAGAGAAAATGACCAGTAATAACGTCTAGAATAATTTAGAATTTTTATGCGTGATATTAATAAAATCCTGTCACCAACATATATTTGCCAATAGCATAAGTCATAACAAGTTTCAATGAATATTGAACAGTGCTATATCGTTGTACTGTTTAATGCCTTCAGTAATGCTCAACAATAATCGTTTATGAAGAACTACATTCATTCTTAAGGATTATCAAATCAAAAACACCATTCTCAAATACTGAATTATTTGTTTTGGTCAAATTACGTTAACTGCAATTGAATGTATTCTGTAAAATTATATCTTTAATGGCAACATCACAACCATCTTTATTCGAGTTGTTCGATTAAGTATCTGTAATGATGGAATTAAAAAATTCTTCACAAAATATACCATTCAAAATTTAGCAATTACGTTGATTTATTTAACCAACAGTGAATTTATCTGCCTTCAATAAGCATTTTATGTGATTCCATTAAAACCTTTAAAAACAAACTGTTTGAAGAGATAGAAATGATCATACAGTCATTGACAGTAATTAATGTTACCTTTTAGTTCTAATAATTTACACTTTTCCCCTTCATTTGTACTACTACTAGATTTTGGTAATTTTTGTTGTTGTTGTAATAAATGACGTCGATAAAACGCATGAGCTGGTCCACATTGATAATGACGCCATGTGATAACAGCAACTGGATTTGAACTATCTGCTTGACAGTTGATTTCAAGTTGTTCACCACTTTGAACTACCGATTTACCGCCAAAATTTAAACTTACTCGTTGTGGTGGAAATAAAACATTTAAAATTATAGCTTCACTATCTATCCATTCATTGTTTGTTGCAGTGTTACGAGCTGAACAACTGTGAATAAGTATATAAAAATAAATGGATAAAAATTAGTATGATATGTGTTTCATGTTTGTGTGTATTGGCATACAGTAAGCAAATAAAATACAGTGTTACATCAAATATATATTTCCCATACTTGTATTCCCTAAAATTTATTGTATGATTATACTTTATACCGATATAAGTACCATTTATAAGTTCATAACCAAACTGAATGACTCATTTTTTTCTGTTTGTTAGTCGTTATGAATAATCCTATTGTTTTATGATCATCATTTTATTCAACAGATATAATTTACTGCATATTCAATCAGATGGAATTTCATTAAAAGTGTCCAATTTGGGAGAGAAGTATCATGAAAGAATTTAGTATCAAATTTAAACTCTATAAAAGATCATTTCGAATAATATGCAATAGAATGAAAATTGAATATTAAGTATTATTTTGCTAGAAATGTTCTTTTATTTGGTTTCAAGGGATATGCGAAATGAGAATTATTTAATTCAAGGTTATGTACTTTGTAATATGTTGAATGAATTTTGTACTTCTGTTCGAAACAAATCTATTCCTAATATATATATATATATATATATATATATATATATATATATATATATATCAAGAGACTCTGGTTCAGGGTGACTAGTTAAAGGTTACGGTAGTTTCCATAAATTTTATTGTTGTATTATTGTCAAAGATGATCAAGTTTATTCATTTAGTTTTGTTGTTGTGCGGCAATTAATTACACCATGAAATACAATGTCAATGTGATGTAATTCTACATTCATCTTTATTGTCTTAACATTAGAGAAAGTTTAATCAATAAGTAAATTAAAGTATGGCACTTTTCACCATTAGATAAGTAGTCACTAAGGAATTTAAATGTCTTATGAGCTTATTAGTGACATGTTTTACAAAAAAGAAACATTATATACCAGATTTTTATTCCCTATTAAATGAAAATAAGAATAATTTATCAAGAATATATCAATGTCAAATAGTGTTCAGTAATAAACTTGGCATAATGCTTTTGTTTTTAATCCGAAGCTAATATCATTTCATTGATAGAATCAATTGTTTTATACAAATGTTCATTTAGCCATAAAAGTTGTTAATATATATATTTAATGATTATAAACTGTAATTAGTTTACTGGTGTCAATTTACATTGATTCAGATTATATCTAATAACCATAAAGAACGGAAATATATATTACTGATATTGTATGCATTATTAACTAATTATACCATAATAATGTCTAAAGTTGTTATAAATACTTCTATATAAAAGATCTACTTAGTCAACTATATAATTTATTCATCAATCTAAGTATAGATAATAAAGTTCTTTAAGTTAGTACATTTCAGACAAGGAGGTATGTAGGTATATTTAAAGAAAATAAGTAAAACTTTATGTATTTATTAAGAGTTCTATTCAATTCTCAATCTTATTTACCATAGAGACTTTAATGATAATAATACTGTTTGTTACTAATCATATCAAAATCTATTTTTCTTAAAAAACAAAAATGAGTTCTTTTAACATATTACAACAGTATAACAAAACATACTTCACTTAATTATGACTAGAATACAGAAGTACTTGTAAGTAGTAGCGTTAACCAATTGAAAACAATAATAATAATAATAAAATTAGGTTGAACAGGATTGGCATTTTAGCTTTTTTTTAAACTAGAACTTTCAATGTAATTCTTATTCTAATTGTAAATGAGCTTTCTTTCGTTACAAGAAAAAAATTTAGTCTTATTGTTCAATACAATCAAAAGTTCTAGACAAACCGATAAATAAATAAATAAATAAACGTAATAAATAAAACAAACTTAACAGAATCATGTACCGGCTTTAGTTACTATGTGTTTTATGATAAAAGCGTAACATAACTAAAATTAACTGAAAGAAAACGGAAATCATAAAGCAAAACAACAATAGCGTACAATCATAATCATAATAATTAATAAAAAAAATAACTAGTATTAAACATGAGAAAAAATCAGCTTTAATTCTTTATTTTTGTTTTGTTTTTTTCCTCATAGATATTTGCGACGAAGAAACAAAAGAAAATAAGAGGCCAACAATTATATTAAGGCTTTATAAGATTAATAATGGATAGGTTTAGGCAATAAAGATTGATTTTGAATAAAATTAGTTAAAAAAATGAGATAATAAATAAAGTATGTAGTCGGAATGTCTAAATAGAGAAATACAATAGTGGTGGAGAAGATTTGTAGCTCAGGTGGTTGGTTTTGATGGAATTATGAATGTGTATGTTGTTATCTTTATTTTCTTTTGATGCAATAAACAATTCATTATATGATCAGAATGGGTTTTGTGGAGATTTTTAGAAATTTCACTGGTTTAAATCATGAGTCAATTAAAGCTAGACCACTATGGAAAACCTGGAAGCACTGGACGACCGTTTCGTCCTAGTATGGAACTCCTCACCAGTGCGCATCCACGAACCCGCCCCCACGAGATTCGAACCTAGGACCTATCACTGTCGCGCCAGGCACTCAACCAACCAGATCACTGAGCCGGGAATCCAACGATACTAATGTCTAACTTCAAACAATCCACGAGGTTGCTCCACCGTACACCATTGTTTTCAGTGAGTTCCTATCTCACAACAGACCTGGTTGAACTCCACTGGTAATGACTTTTCACTAGAACTACAGGAGTATCTTCTGCAGTCAATTACTGATGAGCAGGTGATTATTATTATCAGAATGGGTTTTGTGGAGGACGAAACGGTCGTCCAGTGCTTCCAGCTTTTCCATGGTGGTCTAGCTTCAATTGACTCATGATTTCAACCAGTGAAAATTCATCATATATTGGAATTCTGGGATTTAGTATACAATATATTTTCTTTGTATTTGTATGATTAATTTGTCGTTGTTAACACCTTCTATTGTATGTATATTACCTATAATATTACAGTGAAGTGGTTATTTGTAAATTAAGTGATAACCCCAAATATAAGTACATTTTCTAAAAAGAAAAACTAAATATTTTAGAAAGCTTCGGCTTAAATCTATAAAATAATTGAATAGAATGATCATGTTTTTTCAGTTGTTAATGTCTAGAAGTTGAATAAGAATAGTGAACTATTGTATGCATAATGTAAATATATATTGATGGTATATGTTATCTATAATTATGGGAGTAATAATAATCCGGCTATAAAATTCTGATATTCATTAAAATAGTTTCCATGTAATAGTAACACTAATAGTTATAAGATGTTTTCCAACTAATAATGAAGTTCACTTATCATATAAACTAATTATGAATTTCAAATGAAAAAAAGATTTGTGAAAAATTATATTGATTATTCGGGATTCGAATGATAAAAGTAAGTATAAACTTAATGTAATAGAACTTACTGATATTCAGCACCGTTATCCTCTTTTTGTGGTACAAGCTTTAGTTTAATAGTAGTTTGTTTTCCAATAACAACTGGTTCACCATTGTTTGTGATCGGTTTTTTATCTATGTAATGTAAATATGTAATGTAGAAAGATGTATCCATTATCACAACGATATACATATATCAATAGATTAAAAAGGGGTATCAACTTGATCTTAGCTTTCTTAGATTTTCTTCTAATTGATTTAATACCATTGACTTATCATCATTTTCTAATAATCGATTCATGTCTCATTCAATAAAATTTCACTGAAAGGAATTTGATTTATAAAGTATATTTGTACAGTTAAGTAAAAAGAAGCATAAACTAGAATCATGCTTCAAGTTTTAATCTGAAATGCACGTCCTGAGTTGAAATGTACTCAGATCAGCAGAAAGCCAAATTGGTTTAAATCGTTGATAAAAGCTATAAGAAAGTCAGTTAACTAATTTGAGTTAAAGCATTGAATGAAGCAATTTGTTTTAGTATCGATAGAAATCTATTCGATAATACGGATTATTCATCGGTAAGTCGATTACATATTCTAGATATTATAATGTAGTTGTTGAACGTATCGAAATATTATTACAGCAGTTGGCCACTTCTATGGCTAAATTAAAGTATTATCGAAAACGCCTGATAAACATAAGTTTAAGCCGAAAATTAGAATTTATTTAATTGTATTTAATCTTAGTAGCATACTAAACAATATCAGAACACAGATAGAGAAAAGATATCTAAATTGGATTTAAATGCAACGTCAATTTGCCTTATTTATAGCAAACTACTGGAATATGCAGTCAAATTGTTTAAATCTAATAATTTAAACAAACATAATTAAGTAAATTTGATAAATATATGAATGTTTCATTGAATCTTGGTCATACATAATCAAATGTATGACCTTTATTGGACTTACAATATAAAGTTCATTTTATTCGGTAACATGAAATATAGATATGATGCTCTCTTTTAGTAGTTATGTCATCTTACTCAGACAATTGAATAACACCAGTAATATCACTTTCATTGATTAAGTATTTAGTCATATATAATATATTTATTCGCTAAATTTTAATAGAAATTTGCTTTTCTTTTAATCATGATGATGATTTAGCATATGGATTAATTATTCTCATGACAAAACTTAACATTCTGTAATCGTTTATGGTAGATTACTTTATCTAAACTGAATTCTAATTTGTTTTCAATGGACAAAAATGAATCAGTGGGATGAAGTACAGTGTTTTAGGTAAGTTGAAAAAGCTTTAACAAAAAGAAATGATAAGTATTACACTTAATGTAGAACTTTTATAAGTTTGATGCAATACATTGATGAATTATTTCTCAAACGTTTAGAAGCATAATATAAATCAGTAAAAACACTGGGTAAATTTAGTTGGGAAGTGAAACTAGAGAATGCCTCTTAAAATCTGTTCCCTAACAACCTGTGTATTCAATGCGTTTGAATTGTTAATTTATATCTGTGTAAGTTACTTGGCTAAAAACTTTCATTTTGTTGTTTAAACGTATTTTGACATTCAGTAGAAATAAACAACAAGCTACTTTCAAGTCTGTTGATATATGGTACGAACCATAGGAAAACAAAATATCTATGTAATTAATAAGATATTTTTAGTAAGAATACTAATGACTATTTAAATAAGCAATAATCATAGTAAATTGTTACTTAAACTACACTTACCTTTAAACCACTGGAGTTCAGGCAGTGGATTGCCACCTGTGGTAGTACACGTAAATTCCAAAAGATGAGCCATGTTCACTGGTTGGCCACTTTTATAACCAGTAATCTTAGGCGTATCTGGGGGATCTGTAAATAAATTATATTAGTAGAAATAAGGTTCATCGTGGAAAGCGCATTTAAAAATGTTTATTCAAAGAACGTTTAGTGAAAGGTAAAAAGTTTAGTTCTTGACTTTTATTCTAAAAGACTGAAGTTTCAAAACCTTTTTGTCTGAAATATTACAGCTAATCACACGTCCATTTTACTTTATTCTACATCGTTTGTATCTCGTCTGAATCAATAAATCTATGCTTAAAGTCTTTCAAAAACGTCTTTGAGTCTGTTAATAAAAATAATAAACACTGTGATTTAATTTTAGCAAACAATTAAATAGAAGAACTTGTAAATATTCATCTCTGTAGGTCTATGACGTGGTTAATAATTATAAACCTGTGCTTTATAGCCATTAAGATCGTCATCGTTCTTTAGATTGAAGGTATATCTTAGTTCCCTAATATAAACATCACAATCATGATTTTAAGACTGTTAACTTTATTAATGATTAGTTATATACTTGATCGTAAAATAATGGGATTTATACTTGATATAGATATATTTCTTTTCTTTTTAGGATTTCTAACCTTCTATATTTTATGGTCTTGTTTACAGGCTTTCCTACATTTTACGGCTATCAGTGAAAATTTGTTTAATTCTATACTTTTAAAGTTTTAATACAATTTATAGTTATGTCAGTCAGTTACTTTGAATTTCTGGTTTTCAATTTGGATTTAAAATCTTAGAAATGTTCTCATCACTGGTCCATTATTTGTTAGTATGGGGTTGTGGAGATTGTTTAATTTCACTGCAATCCCAAACTGATCTAAGTTGAGAATAAGGAAATACCGGACATCAGTTCCGTTCTACTATAGGACTCTTCAGCACTACTCAGTCATAACCCTAATTTTCGAAGTTTTAGCAAGAGCCAGTGATTAGTAAAGCCAAACTGTATTGGATGCGAGAAACAATCCTCTGAAGACAATGAAAGATGACCTTACAATATCGTGGGTTAATTGGAGTTAGACATGTATAGCATCAGATCCCCGCTCAGTGGTCTAGAGGTTAAGCATCTATGCGAGACTCTATATCCTAATTTCGGCTCCCAATTGTGCTGTTGTGTATATGCACTTCAAAGGAGTCGTATATTGGGATGGAACAGCCATCCAGTGATTCCAGGTTTTCAGTGGTGGTGTAACTTAGATCGGTTTGATATTTCAATATAGTTCATTATTTGATAAAATACATGTTATCATACTTTCTTATCAGTTTACTCCTAGCAGAAATAAGAATTTTTATGCAGGTCATCACATTATATACGATAAACTGAAAAACAAATATTCAAGTAGAATCCTTTAGAAAGTTGAATATGCTTGACTGAAAAACCAGTGAACGTTTACGATCCAGAAGACGTTTATCAAGATTTTTTTAGTACATTTAACTGACAATAAATCATTCAATAAATACATTTATTATATTGATCATATTTAGTTCGTAAAAGTAAATTTGAGTATGGTTCTTGTATACAGAAAACAGAATATGTGAATCAAAATTTCTACTGAAAATCATCATGTGAATTCACAAATATAGAAGAAATTCTAGTGTAGTCTAGTCTGTTTTTCAAAATGTTAAATAGAATGAACATAAAATAGGATGATGAAAAGTATTTGTCAGCCATTATAGTTTGTCTTAAATCGTCTTTTATTACCTGACAAGATTCAAATTGCCAAATCATATTTGTAAGTGATGCATAGTAAGTTATTGAAGAGTACGTGTTTCGATTTTTGTATTTTTTTTATTAATTACTCATAGTTAAAAATGTTTTTAGTTTATCATATAGAGAAACAATAAATTACAATTTGATCCAACCAAAATAAAGGTGCTTCAATTCCATCAATTTTCAATGAGAATATTGGTACAGATATAACAGGATGTAGACATGTGTTCCAATTATTTGAGTATGGATTCTTTCAGCTTTATTATAGTCTACAGTTTTTCATATTGAAATGTTACGTTGAATTTACATTTTATTATCTTGAAGAAAATTCGGCAAGACTATAATTTATGGACGAACCAATCAGATATAAGATAATAGGTCTCGGATTTTGGCACGAAATTCACTCATCCATTTGGCTAAATAGAGTTTTGATATTATAGCTGATATCAGTTCATGATGAAAACCCTAGATTTAATTCCTAACCTCAGCCATCAAGTGTAAATCATAATTGTAATTCCTCACACTGGTTTATAACTCTTATTTGGTTTTGTAGTAAACAGAACAGGAGTGGGGACAATCGAATGTGTTTGACAAAAAATTACAGGACTTGTTAATAAAATCTAGCAACCATAAAGTAAATGCTTAATTTGCAAAATGTCCATCGATTGTGTCAGAATGACTCAGAGTTCATTGTTATTGCATTTTCATACAAATTGCATCCTGTTCCCATTCTTCACTGTTCGGTTCTCTTGTCTCTTTGCTGCCAGACATTCTGTTCACGACTAACATCATCTACTACTTATGTCAATATAAGTAGCACACACCACAGTCCTAGTTATTAGGTGAACACTCTCACGGTGACTATAGCGTCGCTCAAAGGCCGTTCATAAATTATAGTCTCACCGAAAATTCATAACATATTTCTAGGTTATACATATGACAGTTTCAAATAAATTATCTTTGCAATATTACTGTGCCTGTAAAGTTACATGAATTAAGTTTTTGATTGAGATCATGTACCGATTTATGTTAGACCATCACAATTGAAAACCTGGAAGCACTGGACGGCCGTTTCGTCCTATTGTGGGACTCCTCAGCAGTGCGCATCCACGACCCGGCGAGCGGGGTTCGAACTCAGGGCCTTCGGTCTCGCGCGCGAATCCCGCTCGCAGGATCGTCGATGCGCACTGCTGAGGAGTCCCACAATAGGACGAAACGGCCGTCCAGTGCTTCCAGGTTTTCAATTGTGATGGTCTAACATAAATCGGTACATGATCTCAATCAAAAACTTAATAATCTCCACAACCCCTTTAATAGTTACATGAATTAGTTGATAAAAATTCATTATTGTTCAAATATAACTGAATACTTAAAAATCGCTTAACTCATATCTCAAACTTACTTATGATTTAAACTAAGCTAGTTATCGAATCACAAATATATATTCACTATTGAATATTTAACAAACTTCTCAACATTTATCGTTTGTGTTATTGTTTAGTATTGACAAACAATAATGTTAACAACCATTACTATAATATAATTCTCACCCACTTGTCATTATGACAAATATCAACTTTAGTATAAAGCTAAAATGATAAATAAAACTTGTGAATAATATTTTTTTTAATGATTTTGTATTTCTTTTTATCGGACTGTTATTATCAATCGTTTCTAGGGTGAGAAACGTTTTCACAGACATCAGTTTAGTAACTAGATAAATTATTTGAAGTTAAATGATAAAATCAAGTGAATAGACTGAATTTATTCTAATATGATTAATTAGTGATGGAATTTGAAAGTGAAAAGAAGTTTTCACTACATCTGTATCGATAGACTGCTATGTGTAATTGATAAAAAAACATAAACAGTAAAACTTTATTAGCATCTATTTCAATACCATTTTTGATGTAGATTTTGATAGAAAGCACTGAATTTACAGTCTATATATAAGAAGTTTAATTAAAATGTATTAGTTTGAACAAGTTGTTAATATGAGAATAACTAGAACAACATCTATAAGCGATCAGATTCTCATTAGGTTTTACGCTAATATACAACATTTATATGTATATATATTTATATCAAACTAATTGAGGCAGTTCATTTAGACAAATAATAACAACGAAATTGATTATTTGGCTAAACATGATGGGTAAAAGGTAAAAACTGATATTTGAGTTTATTATACTTAGTTAGGTAATGTATTTTGTTATTAATATTGACTAATGAACTGCCTCGATTGGATTGGTATTTTCATATATGCACACAAATATTGTGTATTAATATGAAGCCAAATGAAGATCTGACTGAAAGCAATATTGTTCGGCTATATATTTTGTTCTAACTAACAATATAAAATTCCATACCATAATATAAAATAGTTATTCTGTAACTACTTGATAAACGTATTTCATAATAGTATTATTTAAATATTGTAGTGGTTAATCTTACTGGTCTCATTTGTTCTTCATTCATTGATAATATAGAATTTCTTTAACGATTATTTTAAATTACACATGGTTGTATATGGTACTAGAATCCAGTACATTTCTTTAATTTTAGTTCATAGCATTTGAAATATTTGGTCTTAAAAGTGTTAGACGGAAGATCAGTGTTTCAGAATGAACAACATTACTAGCATTTTAATATGTTTACTAATCTCACTGCTGTCCGGCAATGAATACAAACACAATAGTAAATCTAATAATTTAAGCGAATATATATCTGACGAAGAGGAACTCACGGATAATATCTAGGCGAACTCTTGAATCAACGCGTGCATCTCCAACACTCCAAACAAGACAATCTATATAACTTCTGTCATCTTCTGGCCGAACAGTGATCTGAATCCGTGACTCTTGATAGACACTCTCTCCATCAGGTGTTTTGAATGTGACAGCTTTATCAACCAGTTGTTTGGGTGGTGTTGTAATACTAGCACCAGCTGCTTGAAATAACCACTTAATAGTTGCCTGACCGTAATATGGAGCAGTTTTGCAAATAAATGTTTTCATTTCACCGGCACGTGCATATGCTACTTTTTCATGGCGTCCACCAGTATAATCATCATCAATGCTACCAGTTTCTACTGAAATTGTGACATTAGCTGGTGCATCTGTAATGGAATACAATTGAATTGTCAATTTTTCAACGATCATTTTTAATAAAAATTAATAAAGCTGACAAAAATTAGAAAAAGATTATTATTATTAGTAATAAAAGATAAGATGGGATTATTGGTTCCGTTACTTAAAATAATAATTATAAAAGGAACTGTTATTCTGAAATGTATTAAATATTACAGTACTAGACACGACCAATGCACCAAAGAAATAAGTGTAAAATCATAGGCGTTGAATATTGACATTTGAGTAATTGATAGTTTCCTAGGAATATTATTTATTATCAGATAGATATGAAGATGAACATGTAGATTGTAACATTAGATCACTATTTATTTTGGATTAGAATACATATTAATAAATAAGGTTTTATGGAACTGAAGTTAGAAATGTCTAATTGAATGAAGAATTAAAGATTCAGTACTTCCTTATCTACTTAAGTAATTGTTATATTTATGCCATTTTCAAAAGATGATAGATGGTATCATGACAATTTATAGTAGGTTTGATTACAGATTTCACAGCTAGTGGTATGTAGACATCAAACCTGATGTACTACAACTGGTGAAAATATAACGACGGATTAAGACTTTTCATAAAATCTACTGTTTTGTATGTATCTATTTCACATGAATTTAGTAAATAAAACCTTGATATATTCGTAAAAAATAGCACTAACAATGTTCGGGAAACAAATGTACGATAAACCAAGATGGATAGTGGCTATCAGTGGAATTCAGGACACGTATTTCTTCCCATTTGGGACTCATCAGCTGGATGTGCCTGCATATCAGATTTGATGTTTCCTCAGAAACCCAAACCCAGTACCGTTTACTTCAGACGCCACCACGTTATCTACTTAGCTACTGAGTCCTGACAGCCATTTACTTGTGCAATGAAGTGAAATTTAAATTCACTTGGTACTGTATACTTGAATATTAACATTTATGTTTAGAATCGTAAATGATCGGTCTCTTATTAGAATATGTACATATTGTGCGTGTTGCCTCGATATTGCCTTAATTCATAAGCATTACAATTAAAGATGGGTGATGGGTAGAAGTAGAATTCAAGATGCACGTTTCGACCTATTAGAGACTCTTCAGCTGGATGTACCTGTATTTCAGATCAATTACAATCCTAAACATCAGTGAGAAGATTCAAGTAACCAGTACTAAGTGAATTAAAATAGTATGCTTTTTCACAAATAAATAAATGATTTAACAGGGAATAACATTTTTATTGTGTTAGATTGTGATGATCAAACTTCATACATTAGTTTGTATTGTATTGATTTAGAGTAAAACAAAGTTAATTTAATTATATCTTTGTCTTTTTACAAAATTGTAATCCAAATTTAAAATTAACCACAATTATTGTTAGTGATGAACCCACAAAATTTAACAGTTGAATGCGTGAGTCAACTGAAGCTATACCACCATGTAAGCGTACCATTGGATGTCGGCTCAGTAGTCTAGAGTTCAAGCACTTGCTCTACAGACCGATAAGTCCTAGGTTCAAATCTCGCGTGGCAGAATCGTGGATGCGCACAGTTGAGAAGTTTGATACTAGGACACAACGTCCATCGACTACTTCCAGGTTTTTCATAGTGGTCCAACTTCAATTGATTCATGAACTCAACTATTAGATTACTATAATATCCAAAAAAACCATTTTGTGTTTATAAAAAAATCTAACTGTATCATTCATATATTTCTTACAATAACTAACAATTCATACGGTTATTACAAATTTCTAATATATAGAAACCAGAAGTAAATTGAAATTATTTAAAATCTGATTTCCATTTTCAAATATATTTACCAAGATAAAAACAAAAAAGAAACAAAGAGAAAAAGACAAATTTCTAGTTGATCCACAACAACAACAACAACAAAAAACTAAAAAAAAACATCCCATAGAGCCATTTGAATGAACTTTCAAAAAGAAAAAGAAAATCTAATTGAATTACACATAGTTAATTTAATTAGTTATTTGACTGAAATTATGTTTGATTCATAGAGAACATTATTTATTTATTTATTTAATGAATAAATTACAAATCAAATAAGGTTGATTGATTATCAAATAAAAAAGAAAAGAAAAGAAAAACTCAGTTATGTTCTTGTCCATCTTAATTCTTTCTAATATTGGTGATGAATGTATATTTGAAGAAAATGAAATTAAAGGTCAGTACTGGTTGATGTGATTGTCTTTTATGTTAGATATTTTCAAATGAAAATTTTCATTAGTTTAACGAACTTAAAGTATTGAATTTATCTATCTATCAACCCATCCATCTATTTTGCCATCTATCTATCTACTAATCTATCTATCTATCTATCTATCTATCTATATATATATATATATATATATATATATATATATATATATATATCGGTAAAACAAGAGCAGCATATTTACTGGATAACATATGCAACTCAAAACAAATGTCAACCAACACTAAGGTCAGGATCTTCAGTCCAAATGTCAAGACAGTTCTACTGTATGAGGTGGAAACGTGGCGAACTACAAAAGCCATCATCCAGAAGATACAAGTGTTTATTGACAGCCGTCTACTTTGGATCCGTTGGTCAGACACTATCAGCAAAAACCAGATCCTAGTGGAGGAAGAAATGAGGAAGAAGCGCTGGAAGTGGATAAGACACACATTGAGGAAAGCATCCAACTGCATCACAAGGCAAGCCCTCAAATAAAATCCTCAAGGCCAAAAGAAAAGAGGAAGAGCAAAGAACACATTACATCGAGAAATGGAGATAGACATGAAAAAAAGTGAACAAGAATTGGATGGAACTAGAAAAGAAGGCCCAGGGCAGAGTGGGTTGGAGAATGCTGGTGGGCGGCCTATGCGCCATTGGGAGTAACAGGCATAAGTATATACATATATATATATATATATATATATATAAAGATTATTCAAACAAAAGAGTTTTGTAGGTATCATTACGAATGTTTTACTTGATAGTTTTAAATAAGTTGACCATTGGGTAGATTGTTATTGATAAACATAATATATTTGTAATATCCTACTAAGTAGATAAATTAAGTTTTTAAATTTTTTGATGTTTCATGACTTAATGTTAGCTACTTCATCAAAGAATAAAAAATAATACGTAGCTCACCTTAAATTACGTAACGTCAGAAATTTTGAAAACTTATTTTTTCTACTCAATGGGATATAGCAAATATATTGTTTTTATTAAAAGATACTGTTTACTTCATACACATCTGTTAAAATTTGTGACCTTATGCCCTATTTATATATACAACGTAATGATATCGCCAATTAGAGAACAGTGATGTCCGTCAAGTCCAGCCTCCGCGATATGTATTATGTATTTCAAACATACTGGGTTTATATACAAATCAAACATACCACATCTCAGCATAAAATAGAAATCTACATTTATACAAGATCTGACCGAAAGTGGCTGTGAATGTGGGAGACTATAATTAATAGACTGGATAGAACTCAAGAAATGTAAATCGTATAATAATAGTCAAAATGGGTGAAAATAAAGCTTATAATAAGAGGAACATGAATATGCATAGTTTAGCTGCTTGATAATTATGCGATAATAATATATGTATCGTATTGGTCCATAAATTGTTCCCAAGAGGTACCACTCGTAATTCTCGTCGGAATATAACAAAGTCATCAAAATGTTAAAACCAAATCAAACAAATTCACTCAAAAGAAAACGTTGATAATAAAAATTTCTACTCAACTTCGGATATTTTGAGTAGGAAGACACAATGATCAGTGACATCTTGCAGTCACTAATTAGTATTGTTTTAAATATGATATATATTATTAGGAAAACAAGAAATCCTTTAATAATGACACAGTTAAGAAAGTGTAATACTATTACTGATAAAAGCAAACGTAATTCATTATAAACTTTATTTTAAATCCATTGAACAGTACAATGAACAAAATGTTAATATAATAAGCAAATAATTGTGAATTAACTAACTGAATTATCTAGTTGAATTGAATGATCCATCTCAATTATGTACGTTTGCTCAACTTTACTCATTTTGATATTACATTGTAACTATTAACAAGTATTTCTTTTCTTTATTGTTTAGATTCATGAACTAATCGTTAATATTTACTGTTTACTAAATGTATTCATTTCTTGGAATCAAAAAGGGCCTTCTAATACTTTATATATAAAAGTGTTTTGTGAATTTTAGAAGTATCTAGTCAAATTTGAATATACCTTGCTAGTAACCTAAATGGATGTCTTTTTATTTAATAAATCTATACCTGTATTGAACTTTGTTTAGCATTTAATGTTTTCGTATTCGCTAGTTTCACAGTTTGTATTTACTCGATGTAGGAGCATTACGGGAAACTGTACTTATAATGTTGTAAAATTCATTGTTTTCATTCGAAAGCTTGTTTTATCAAATTATCAGTGTTTTGTTTTTGTAAATTAATTGGTGTTAAGACAAATTTCTACTTCAATCAAAGTGAAAACGAAAGGTCTTTTGTTATCATAAAATGAAAAATAATAGTATTCTAAAACAATCTAAATATATATAAGTATATATAAGTTCAATATGGTTTCGCGATCACATATGTATAGTTCCCTTCTAAGATTTTACAAAAAAACAACAAAAATATTTGATAGTTGAATTCATGAGTCAATTGATGCTGAACCACCATGGAAAACCTAGAAGTACTGGACAGCCGTTTCATCGTAGTATGGAGTTTCTCAGTGGTGCGCATGCACGATCCCACCCGCAGGAGTTGCGTTCACGACCTATCAGTCTCGTGAGAGAACGTTTGACCTCTAGATCACTGAGCCGTCATTCAACGGTGTCATTGTCTAACTTCAACAAATACACGAAATTGAGCGACACATCCACCATTGTTGTCAGTGAGTTACTATCTCACAACAGACCCGGTTGAACTTCACAGGCTACGTCTTCTCACTAGAATTCCAGGAAATACCCCTTGAAG